CCACTGGGGGCTGCAAGATTTCAACCCTCTGTTATCCCGCAAGCACATGTCTCTTTTTTCCCGTCCTGTTTGTTCTCCGGGCACCTCGTTCTTACGTGAGCTGAGGGGAAAACAACGATTCAACTCGAACGTCGTCACTTTTACCAGAAAAAAAGATCTAAGAAAAATAATATTAGAGCTCGGGAAGAAAAGAACGGAAAAAACTTCAATATTTTCAATTGAATATTTTAATTTTTGGCGTTCTTGAACTCATTAAAATTATAATAGTTTTACTATTATTTAGATTCAAAGATCATTTAGGAATTTAAAATTTATAGACTAACAAGAATTAAATCAACTGATAAGAATCAAATTGGGAAAAAATCTGAAGAAAATTGTCTTACTTATTTGTTCCAACTTAAAATTAAGCAGGGCTTATCATCTACAAATATTAGATTTTTTTCACCTAAAAAATTTCCTATAAGTTTCACATCTTGATTTATATAATTATTTTCAGATTTAGTGAGAAACTTTCTTTTTTATTAGGAGGAGAAAATTAAACATGGAATGACTCATTTGAGACCCACTTAATAAGTAGCAAAATGTTTAAATAAATTACCATAGAGACTTCCATATTTAGCAAGATATCATTTTTTTTTCACAATATGGCCTTTCACGATAAATTAGATTTTTTTTTTCATTTCCACCCCAAACCAAAAAACTTAATTTCCGCAATCCTTTTCTTCCCTCCCGACCACTACGTTATTTTCCTTTTTTTATTTCGGCAATAAATATCCATCTAACCCCAGCTCGTGGTTTTCCCCGAGGCCAAACGCGTATACGCAGAGCCTCGTTAGAAGGTGTGCAAATAAAAGAACGCTCGTCTTTCTTTCTCTCGCTCGTCGTTCCTTCTTTACTTTATATTTTAGTTAGCGAACAAGACAGCGAGGGAGCAAAGGTGGCTAACGATTTATCGATCACGTGCGTGTGCGAGAAGAAAAAATATGTAGGATGGGAAATGCAGGAGGAGCCGGTGTTGTTCGAGAACTAACAAACCGCGATTGCTCGTCGGCTGATCGGCGGCTCGTTTATTCAGCAAGCAGCAAAATGCCGGCGGTGCTGCACGAGACTCTGGGTGTAACCTTAGCCCTTTGCAAATTGCACACGCCTAGAATATTCGCGACTGAATGGAAAAGCGTGGGTTGGTCTCGCACGCACCACTTTTGTACGTCAATTGCGAACCGTTTTAGCTCTTTTGTGATCAAAGAAAGCTCCGTGTGAAATTCGCAGAATAAAAGCTAAACCGATACACGTGATGGGCCAATAAGTACTTTGATTATTTTGGGAAAATCATAGCGAATGTGAAAAATTGTTTATTGTTTTAATAAAATTACGTCCACAATTAGTTAAAAAATTTGTAAATATAAATGAAGGTGGAGCAGGAATTAATATTATAATCAAGTAAATTTCAACGTATTGATAAAATTAAAATTATCAATTATCACTAATGTCTGCCATTATGCACAACTAAAAAACTACTAGGAAATATTTGTTTCTTTATTTCAGTCAAAAAGTTTTTAAATTGCAATAATTTAAACATCAAATGACAAAGTAACGTCAGTTTTAATTTAATCAAATTTAAAAATAAAAAAAATAAAATGTTTCAATCTTCATTTTTTTTTATGTTAATCTTTATTGTTAATTAAGAATATCTAGAAAATTTGAAGAATTGTCAAATTTCTAAGTAGCGAAAAGATAGAAACTTGCAGAAACTTAACAAATTTGTAATGATTAGTGATCACATTCAATTGCAATTTACGATAAAAATGAGTAGTTTCATGTTTGAACAGTATAAATTAATTATTTTTTAATTCTATATAGACAGAAAAATATTTTTAACCATCTTTGTCCCAATTTTACAAACCTGAAATCATATTTTATTAAAAAATCTCTCTTAAAGATGTTCATTTCTGCAACATTTAATCTTCGCAGAGAAGCAAAGAAAATTCCGCCTCTCTCTTTTTCCATCTTTTCAACGTCGAGGAGATCTGACAAAAAAGAGACCCAATTGCTCAGCTGAGCGTGAAACGAATCATTTTAACCTCTTTTTCTTTGGCCCGAGACGCCAAGTTCACTGACTCACGATTAATTTTAATACCAGATTATTTGCCTTGGTTTTTACTACACCGTAGTATTTTTATATTTGCACCGCGAAATGGAGCATTTTTTCTTATATTCAGGAAGCTGCGGGACGACGTCAGTCCCTGGGCGGCGCAAATGCAATTTCCAATATATGGGTCGAGCACGAGGCGTGCCAATTCCATTCACTCCGTCGGCATAATCGCATTCAGCGCTGCGGTGTGCAATAATGTACGTAGGCAGGCACCTCCGCGTGTGTGTTCCGCTGCAGATCAAATTATTTATTCTCCTTGGGGCGGAGGGAAAAGAAGAGGAGAGCGACATCGAAACAGGCGACAGACGGCAGGAGGCATAAATAAGGCATGACTCGGGGTGTGGATCATCAAGATGAAAAGGTCGCTGAATGCATTCTGATGAATCTGAGGGTTATAAATAAGATATATCTGAAGCAGAGCAAAAGGTGGAATGGAAAATCCATGTTTACAAGAAATTTATAAGTTTGAAAAGATGTGATAAATTGTAACACTTTTTATATTTTAACTCTGGTGTTTGGTTTTTAATGACTATTTTAATTCTCCAATATTAAAACTTAAACCAAAATTAACTTTTATTTAGCAGTATCTTTAAATTTACCAGGGAAATTTAAGCAAGAAAGTACATAGGCAATTTTATAAGCTAATTCTCCAAAAATATAATTCAGTTAATTTAAAATTGTTCAATATTCAACATTGCATGACTTTTTTATTAGGGTAATTAGTAGAAATTAGACGAAAATAAAAATTATATGTAAATAATTATATTATTTTGATTTAAATTTCTTTTACAGTTCAATTTGTCTGTTTTGTCAGTTGAAAAAGGTTATTAATTATATTTTGGGCAGTTTTCATTTGATCCTATTAGTAGCCTCTGAGCAATAAAGAAACTCCAATTTACAAGTAAAATTTTATATAAATTTATAAAAATTTATCAATTTTATAGTTTTCTTCATTTAAACAAATTATTCGTCAATGTTACTGAATTCCTGAATAAAGCTTTTTTTATGAAAATTTCTTTCATTACTCTGTGCAAAAAGTAAAACACACAGTTGCAGAAACTTCCGCCTTCTCGACTCATCTGCATCTTTTTTTTTTTATTTTTTGCGTCCAGCTGCAATTAGAGATTGCTCTGGGGCGTCGGAACAACTTCCACGCCCCTCTCCCTCCACTTTGTTTTCCTTTGATGCGTGCAGTGCAGCCGCCGAGCTGCAGCTAGTGGCGCATTTGCATGGAGCTTTGACCCCGGCGGGATGCATCACTCGAGACGGGAAGGAAACATTCGTGTTAAAAGTGCATTAGGCAAGTTTGGGAAGGGTTGGATGATTGATCTTTTCGCGTCGCTTTTCTATCATTCGCGGAAAGTGAGGGGAGAAGAATTCAATTATTGCGCTCTTGCATAAACGTTGCCAAGCATTTCCATTTCAAAGAGTTTGTGAGAAGTAAGAAGTGGGAAAACCGGAAAACCGTTTTTAAATAAAAAAAGATAAAGTAGCTAAAAAATATACTCTAAATTTCCTAAATTTCAAAAATAAACAAAATTACTAAAAAGTAAAATTGAATATAATTGTGATAAAACCGCTTTTTAATATAAATTTGATGGAAACTTGACACCCACAGCCTAGAGTCAAAAGCGAGGTTCACGTGACCATCCCCTATTTACTTCCTATCCTAGCCAATGGGCCAGAAATCCGACCCGCCGCAGAAAAAAGCACCCCTAGGTCGATTCGGTCACTCGAAGAACCGAACATGAAAGAGAAGAGAGAAAACTCTCCCTCCGTTAAAATTGGAAAACACTCGACAGTGATAGCCGCGGGTGCATCTTATTGCATCAAAGTTCGATCCGAGTCGGTCAGAAAAAGAGGAAGCCGACCAAGATCAAAAATCCTCCTGAATTAGAATATCGCAGGGGGACTTTATTCGCGCATTTGGGGCTAACCGAGTTTACTTCATCAAGGTGCATTACGTGCAGTCCAGACCTGCAGACCGGCCACCCCTCGTTGCGAGCACAATGAACTCGGCCCCGAGGCTGCACCGGCCATTATTTGCTTTTAATTAATTTATCCTTTTTTGAGTCCGGGATATAAAGCCGAGTGCAGTTGGTCGAGGGGACCAGACGTCGCTCGCAGGTGAAGCCGCTTTGATATGCAGCGCTGAATTCTGAATTAGCCGCTGGATTTGTTTTGTTTTCATCTTTCTGGCTGGAAATTCACCCTCTCTGTTGAACTTTATTTTGAAAGCCAGGAGTAATTGTGCATTGAAAAAAGAGTTTTCAACTATGGATGGATTAAAAATATTGTAATCAAGTAATACATTAATTTTATACAAAGAGCTTTGTTGTTATAAATAATATTAATATTAATTTATTTAAATAATATTTTAAATTTCATTACTTGTAATATTCTTTAGTACAATTGTTTATTTGTTTTTCAATTTAATAATAAATGTTAATTAAATTTTTAGCGACAAAAATATGTCATGAAAAATTCTAAACATATAATAGTCAAGTTGTGCTAAAACTGTAATAGCATAATTTAAAAATAAATGTAAATTTTTAAAATAAATTAATGTGCAACAATTTTTTTTAACTCCACTGCCAAATGACATAACTCATTTTCCGTATGTTGCTGCTTCTTGCCTTTATTTATATTGTATTAATTTCAGCCTCCAAAGATTACAAATTCTTCACATTGACTAAAAAAAAAAGTTGAAAAATTATTCAAAGTTGCTTCAATTTGTTCAAAATTTATTAGCAATGAAATGCTTCTTAAATAGTATTTATTGAACCATTCAAGAAAATTGTCTATTTAGAGAATCGTAATTTTAATTTAAGAATTCTTTGTGTTACAGAAGGCGCTGAGCTGAGAAGAATTTCCCTGTTGGCAAATCCGCCTGTTTTGCACTCTTTGCATGCTGGTATGTACAAAAAAAAGATAAAATCCGAAAATGCTTTTACCGTACAGGGAAATATCGACTTTTTAGCATTTTCCAGAGGGTTGCGTAATTTAGTTATTCATTATTTAAACCATCAATCTCAGCTGGTAACTTTTGGAACTAAAATTTATAAATAAAACTAATTTTAAATAAGGCTTAAAATTTTTATTTTAAATTCAACAAACTACTAGAATGAAACATGAAATTTCTAGCCTCAAATGTATGCGTTCAGAATTCGTTTTCCACACGTGCAAACCCAATTTCCTCCGAAGAATGGGCGTTTCTTGTCAATCGAATTCAGCCGCGGGCCGAGAGTGTGTGTCGCTTTTTGCTCGTCGCCCGTTTGCACCCTCGGCAGACATAATTTTGATGGATTGCGTCTCGCTGTAAAATTGCCTCTCTCGCACTCTGCGGCGTTTGCTGATTGACGTTTTTCGGCGGCAGGGGTGAACGCACGTTTGCTTACCAGCAAGGTTGTTTATCAATGAAGCCACTCGTTGTGTGCCGCTGGCTGAGCAGAATTGGATATGATGGTAATTGCACCCGAGCCGCTTTAATAGCCGCCGCATTGTTTCGCGCCTCTCGATTATTTCCCACTAAATCAATCTCGCGTAATCCCATCAAGCCGGTGCGAGGGGAGAGAGCAAAGACGCGGCGCAGAAAAGAAGCGCCGTTTTAATTAAAATTCCGCGCAATTTTACTGCCGCGTTGGAAAAAGCGAAGATTCCACTTTTAATTGGGCTGTTTTTCTTTTTTATTGCGTCGATGGGTTTTAAGCAAGTGTCAATTAAGGCTTAAAACAGCCATAAAAACAGCTCTTTTACGAGTTGCTTGCGCAAAGACGGAAATAGCACCTGAGCGGTCTTGACAAGGGAGAATGGAACCATAAAGTTCGGTCCGGTTGAAGTCGATAATATTCGGCGCAAAGATGCTCAAAGGGGTTGACAACTGTCACTTGGATAAAAGAGGTATTTGTACATTGATCGGTTGGATTGTACATCCTATTCACGAGAATTTCCATCTTGTAGCTTTTTGTCACGTAGGGCATATGAAAAAAAATGCGTATCAAAGTGGAAGAAATCTTGGTTTTGAGGGAACAATATCATAGATTCCTGATGATCAGTATGACGAGTTGTGCATAAAGAATTATGAAAATTATTAATTATGACTAAATATGAAATAAATTTAATTGTTTGAAAGAAATGCTAAATCCAAGATGGCTGCCTTCCAGGCTCCCTATTTTAATCATTGTCAATTCCTAGGAAACAAAAGAAAATTCTAATATTTTTGTAAATGGGAAATAAAATCTGTTCAATCTATGATAAAATTAGACTACTATATTTTGAACGTTAACAAATGCTTTAATTTTCAAAAATATCTAACTAAAAAAAGTGAATGTTGATATTTAATTAACATTTTTCTTCTCAATTATATTTAAAATTTTTATAAACTTATTGAAACACGATTATATATTATATCTAGAATACTTACTCATTTTGCTAATAACAGCAATTTTTAAGACATTAAACAAGATCTGGTGTAGATTTTGAGAGATTTAACTGGATTTGACACAAGTAAATAATATCAAGACACGACATTTTCATCTTGGTTTGATGAAACTCGAGATGATAACGCAATCACCAGCCGCTGCTCGAGGCCTAATTCCGAACTAAGTGTCGACAAGAGACTTAGAGGGCTGCCACGCGCACATTATGCCGAGCCATCGTTCGACGATCAAATTTCATGCGAGAGCGGCGTGAATTTTAATCAAAGCGCTCGTCGCCTTAACGAAATTTGCATTAATTAAAATGCCGGCGTCAAAATAAGCCATCAGGCGGGTGGTTTTCAATTAAGGTGTGACGTCACATGACGGTAAATAATGCACGTGCACATAATAATTGGGTACGGTGCATGGTATACGTACAACCGGGGAGCGATTATAATAAGCTGCTGCTAGTTAGTCCAATTTGCGTTCGGATCGTAATTAACTTGTGCAAACATCTCCGCTTTCGAGCCGCCGGAGAGAAGGAACGGGAAATTGGGCCAAGAAGCTTCGACAGCAGACATGCACGCAAACGTTCATTGCTAATTGAGCTGAATCGGCAAGAACTAAGGTGGTTCTGAAAACTAGGAACGAACTCTATATTTTTTTTTTATTCAGAGAATAGCAATTTCAAGCATTACGAGGGAAAAAAGTGTCTCTTTGAAGTATCCGTTTATTCAAAAATAACAAAAGACGAAATTTTTCAAGTAATTTATTATCTGTTTATGTATTCTAGATTTGAAAAAAAAAAATTAGAGACATTGTTTTACAAATTTTTCAACGTATTATTTGAAGAATGTTGAAATTATAAATTACTATATTTATTTATGAAATTTTACAGTTAAATCACTTTTTTAAATATTATTTTTTTTACATTAATTACTTAATTATATTCCAATGTTCTTTTTCTTTGCCCATAGCAGGTCCATAGATAGCATAATTCTATATTTTTATTTCATTAATTTTTAAGCAAATATTAAATAATTTTTTTCCTCAAGGCAATGACAGTTTAAATAAATATTCAACAATGAATTCTTATGGAGGATTCAGATTTGTTACTGCAAAGTTTACTAAAAAATGTTGGTTCTAGATTTAGTAGCACAAATAATTTATCTCACTCTTAAATTGAAGTAACAGGGAGTTTCTTCCCGTTTTTAATCACAAATCTCATTGATATGAAACTTGAATAGAATTCCGCACGTTTGAACCGAGCGGCCTTTTCACACCACCGCATTTTAATCCTCTCGCTACTTTCTTCAGCGCCCCTTCTTCTCGTTTCGTTCCGTCTGAAAAGTTGTCAAGAAGAAAGGGAAGGAAAAGCGCGCGTGCGAACAGAGCTCGGCACTATGGAAGGTGTCGGCCGAGAAATTTACGACTCTAATTGGATTAAAAGTTCAAATAATCCCATTAGAATTCCCCTTTTGAATTTGAATTTCTCTTATCATAAGTTCCACCCGCAAATAAAGCTAATTGCGCGTGCACGAGGTAAAAAAAAGCAGGTAGCCCGGGAAAAATCTGCCAGAGAAGGCTGGAAAAATCCACTCGTTGGTTTAGTTTTTCCTCTCCTTTTTTCAGCAGCAGTAATTACGTCCGCAGCGGCGCTGGCAGATAAAATAAAATATATATATGTGCGCGCACGTAAAAGCCAAGTGAATGGCCCCTTTTTTGCGAGCAGCCGCGCGCTGCTTTATTTATTTCGAGCTCAAAAGGCATCAAACAAACAACCCAGTCATTATCTGGGCTAATTTTCATAATGCGATGAGCTGCTTTTTTGCCGCCATTATGTTTTAGCGCCGCCGAAAGCTTTATGGGCGTCGTTAAATGATTAAAGGGCTCGAAGACGAATCGTTTTGACCCAAATAGGAAAAGGAAGGGCTGTCGGAAGATGGGCTGAAACAGAGAAAAATGGGAGGCCATAATTTGTGTGCAAAGTGTTGCTTGCAGCTCTTCTCTTGCAATAGAGTCCGAGTCTGAAAGGCCAATAAATCTTGATCATAATCGATTATTTTTTCTAGCCAACCTTAATTTGGTGATATATTTTCTTCTTTCTTAAATTTGAATATGAAATGGCAGTGAAATATAATTTCTATGATAAAAACAGTGTTTGACGATAAACTGATGCATGAAAAGATAAGATCTATTCTCTAAAAAATCAGAGCATTTGTTGCTTGTCTTTTCTGATCCGTACTTTTTTCTACGAAATTGGATTTTATTCATTCCTCTCGCGAGCGTCTGAAATTCTTCCGTGGCAGCTGAGTTTTTTCCGCGTCTGAAACCAAACAATATGCTCTTTTTGAAATCAGACAGTTTGGCAAAAGCTTTTCTCTCTTTCCGCCACGTCTGCTCTAGCTTTGTTGTGGTATTACATTATTTCACCAAGAGAGCCTCATCGTATTGTCGCCGCGCTTTTCTTCGTTTCGCAGTCACTGACTGCACTTGCGACGTTTCTTTGTCCTCTTTTGTTGTCACTTTCTTTTTCACTGGTGCCAAATTCTTGATAAAAAAGAGCCCACTCGTCTGCCGCTCTTGAATTCGCAAATAAAGCGAAATTATTTGAACCAGATTGCTCAACTGGTTTAAAAGACTGTTGATTGGTACTCTTTATTATTTATAACTTACTAATTACAAGTTCATGAAATAAAAAACAGAAGATAAATATGCATGAGGAAAAAATTTGAACCTTTTGATTGTCTTTTAAATTCAATCAAGTTTCATCTTTAATTGATTTTTACAAGAAAGAGTAACGACTCTCAATTTAAACTCAATTTGTTCTTGGGTCAAAACACATTTTATCTCTCTAGGTACAGATTGGGTTGGTTTCCTTTGTGCCTTTGGCTATAAAAGCGTCGTAAAACAACTACCAATCTACCCCACAATTTCGCCCAACACAGCTTTGGAAAAAAAGAAACTATTCCTTACTTTTTCTCTCGAACTGTCTTTAGAGGCAGTTTCGGTTTTATGCAACCGGTGCGTGGCGTGTGTCGCGCCGGTTGCATACGCCGGCCGCAGCCCAGCGTCCAATTATCTCGCACCGCGACGCGTAAACAGCAGGCTGGCTACTTAGGAGCTAATTTATCGCCGGCGGGCGCAAGAGAGCGAGCGAAAAAGAGCGAGAACCCTTTTTCGTCGCCAGATCGACTATAGAGATGTGTCGGCTCGCGAGGAAAGAGGATTGTGAACGCTGAGCATAAAAGTCACTGTCATTTTAATTAATAATGAATGTTTTTCATTTGAAAATAAGTTAGTGAATTATATCATTAATTTGGCTTGATTTGAATACATCACAAATTTAAGTAATTTCTTATAATTTCAGCTTTTTTTACTGGGAAATATCTAATTTAGTTTTATATGGTTTTATAAAAGGAACATCAATCAATCAATAAAAGTTTAACTATTTTATTTAAAGCAAATTTGAAAGAATTCAAAATTTTCACTAGCTACTTTATTAATGTTTACTTAAAAATAAACATCTTAATTCATTTTAGAAATCGTTTATAATAATTTAATTTTTATTCTTTTAGTTTTAAAATATCTATTTTATCATTTTTATTATTAAGTTATTTAATTTATAAATGTAGTCTTTTTTATAATGTAGACTACACTAATTGTAAGAGCTGGCGATCAAAAAATTATTTTGTTTTCTTTTCAATCTGATTATTTTATGATATAATGCCATAGGAGCAAAAAGTAGTACGAAATGAATGTGCTCTTAATAGAACTTACCATAATGTCTTGGGCTTGGATAGCTTCGTTGATAATGAATTATTATTATTTATTCCTTTCACAATCAGTTGATAAATAAATTTGAAATTTGATAAGGAGAATAAAGGGGTTACAACTAGTAGATATTTGCTAAAACACCCTATATAAAAGAATTATGATATTTCATTAAATTCCAATCCGAATAAATTTAAATTGATTTGTTTCCACAACCCATGGATGACCTCTTAACTAACTAAGCGAGCGGGATTCCCGGCGAATGCTGAATTAAAGGGGGCTGCGAGATTTTTTTGCCGCGTGTTACATCACAGCCGGCCTAGCCAAATGGCAACATAACAGTATTTGCATTCATTACCACGGCGGTCTATATTGGCGAGGACTGCGCTGCAGACATTCCTCGCGTCTCGCCCAACAAGAAATCTTGGCAGCGACGCGCGAATACACCCGTAAAAAAGGCGGCGCGGAATGCGCGCATGAGGAAATAGACCGGTCTTTTAATGTGATGTAATCTGGCCCCGAGCGAACCAACGTCGCTCTCCTTTCCACCTTTTCCTTTTGTTTTCCGGTTTGCTTCAATTCCGAACGCCATTTCCAATTTGATGCCTTTCGCCGAGGAATTTGCTGGGGCTCTATTTTTGGCTCTCTCGAAATTCCATTCATATCGAGAGCAACGCTGCTACCCGCTTGATTAATATTTTTGAATGGACCGGTATTGGTATTAATTCAACCTCGCAGAAGAATATTAATTAATTATTTATTCATTTCCGTAATATAATTTTTCTGATCATTAAATACTACAAAATTTTATTTATCACTTGTTAATTTCTAATTATTTTTCTTTCAAAGTATTCATCATTGATTGATAAGATCAATAAATTACACAATAATTCCTCTTATTTTTCCATGTTTTAACATATTATAGTTGATTGCGATCAAATCTTTAAATTTATATTTATTAAATTACAATTCATAATTAAATTTAAAGCATTTTTTTTTTTGTCAACTTGATTCAATTTTTTTTACAATAATTGTTGTTAAATTAATTAAATATTTTTGCAGTCTTATATAATTAATATCAAATAACAAATAACAAAAGTTTTAAATTTAAAATACCATACGTTCTTTATGCAAATTACCAAAAAAAGATCTAATCAAATAAACTGATAAACATTTTGAGAACTTTTAGTTTAATTTAGTGGGTTGTAGGTTTATTGATTCTAGTATAATCTAAATAAATCAGCGTTAATCATGAATAAACATCCCTTTGTTTTTGCATATTTGATACGTTACTCAGAGCGTTTGGAAAGCCCGCCTAATTCATCACTTCTGCCCAACTAGTTGTTTGTTCTGCATTTCCGAGAAACACTTTGCCACCCGTCGAGTGAAAAAATATTGAGAAAGGACGGGCAGACAAAAAAACTGGCCGTGATTTATGTGTTTCCTGCTCTCGGCGAGCAGCATTCTGGTCCATAAATTACGTCAGCGCCGGGAAAGGACCAAATTTATTCCGCCTGCGTCCGCTTTTCCGCAATTCAATTAAAACCCAATCACAAGTGACATTGTTCAGAATCAAACAAACAATGAACCCATCATCAATCCAAATCATTGAATATTGGCAAATTCAATCCATTTCGCAGACGATTTTTTTTTCAATTCATTAAAAAAATATCAGACTTGCCAATTTGTCTGAAAAACCAACAAAGGGCTCAAATTTCACCGTTATATAACAAAATTCAGGACGGAGGAAATAATTTGGAGTCAATTAAGCGCGTCGCTTGAATGGAGAGGGCGAGGCTCGGCTCCTTCCTCCCATACTACTTGGAAGTCGGCTTTTGTTGGCAACTTAATGAGCCTCGTCGTGACGCCATTGGTCCCGGTTTTCCGATTGCTGGAAGGTGATCGAGCTGCTGCTGGTGATTACGGCGGGACGACACCCTTAGCCCGGCCGTTGTTCTCGCCGGCGACCCCAAACAGGCACTGGAAAAAACGCGAGCGAGCAGCACCAATGACGTCACTAGTAATTAAAGAGTGTGAATTTTTCTTCTCGTATAATCATTAAAAATTCTTAAGTATTTCAACTAATAATTTGAGGAATTTTTCAATTTTTGAACTTAATCCAAGGTTCTTTTAACTTTTTTAAAATTATAAGAGATAAATTATCGTTTAATGGCTTAAATTTACTGAGTTATTTGAAATTGATCTTCGCCAAATGCCATTAGAGATTAAGCTTTAAAATTAGCTTAAACTTAAATAGAATAACACAGTTTTGATTTAGCAAAAATGATCATTTCAAAAATGGCTAAATTTTATTATTTTTAATGAAAAGGGGAATTAAATTATTTTAATTGAAGCTTTTAATTGTTAAACGTTGAAAATTATAGCAATTTGAAAATTGTTTAATTGATCCATTAAGTAGTGGTTTTGCAATTGTGAAAATAAATAGAAATGTTGTAGAAAATTCAAACTTGCTTTCCATATAAAAATTGTTGAAGAACTCTAGAATTTTTGTAGCACAAACGAATTTTCAAGAAGAGTTTGCCGTTTAAGCCCAAAGCAGTTAATGGCTTGTTCTCTTTCTTTTCTTTTTCGCTTTCCTTTTTTTCATTGCGTTTATGCAAATTGCGTGTTTAAGGAGCGCGACGTCGGCGTTCGCCTGCAGAATTATCACCGTTTTCCCAACTTGTTAAAACTTCTGCAAATGAGCAAACTTGGTGCTGCATATTTAGCCGCAATAGTGGCCACTTGAAACTCTCGAGTGGAAAAATAAAAGAGGAACAGAAATTCATTTCCACGTTAATCAGCTTCTGCGTACATTTGAGCCTTTGACCTTTTGCCGGAAAAACCGCAAAAGTGGCACGCCCGACGACGAGCGGCGCCGAGAGATATCACTGAAGCTCGGGCGGGCGGAACGACAGAGTAAATACGAAGCGAAATGTCGGTCGTACTCTCTGAACAAATACCGACGAAATAAAAAACGAGTCTTGCTGCGGCAAACGACCAGAATTTATCGCCGGGGAGATTCAAAACCTCAAAATTGCACAACTCTGAACTGTAGCCAAGTGAAAGTAAAATATTTATGTCCGAAAGTTTATTTTTTTATTATTGACGAAAATTATATTTTAGTAAAAAATCTACACTAACAACAAGAAGGGCAAAACTTAATTCGTAAATCATTACAGTCAGATAAAGTCAGATTAAAGTAAAAATAGAAAAAAAAAATCAGACATGACTTCAAAATATTGTAAATAGTCGTTTAATTAAAGTTATTTAGTTTCAAGATTCATATAATTGCATACCATATTTAAAAAAAATTTGATAAATTTAATTAAAATAATTAACGAACATTGATTCCCATCACCAAATCTGTAAGGAAAATTTACGGAAAGAAATATCTAAAAATAAATAAATAAAAACCTCTCCCAGATATGAAAATTTATAACTTTTCGGTGTTAACTGCAGATTTAAAATGTAATGTGGAAATATGTCATTGAATTCTAAAGACTTGTGTAAATTACTGCATAAGCTTAAGATATTTTAATGAATTAAAACTTATCTATGGCCTTATTTCAACAACTACTGATTATTTTATGGCGATCAGAGGATTTTGAATAGCCCTCGCTATAAATATCTTTCTCCAGTCCGGTGCATGCAGTATTTTTTTTTTTATCTTACACAATAGCGCAATAAGGGCTGCATTGGTTTATTGGTGTTGCAGGTCAGCGTGTAGCACGGAGTGTCCGTTCGAGTTCGTCGACTCTGCCGCGTTATTTGTTCTGCTATGGCCCCTCGCTTATGGTAGGTAAGTTCGAAATCCGAGCCCAATTAAAAGTCCCCCGGCTCATTAATTCGAGTGCAAAATAATTATTACGAGCGAGAGCGCGCACAGGATTCGGGAAACGTCACCCTTTGACCTTTGTCTCGCTTTTGTCCGTCGCCGGCGAGACGCTTCTGCTTTTTCTTTTGCAAGTTTAATTATTGTGCCTTTGAGCTGTGGCGCTCGTACTTTTAATAATTTTGATTGCTGCTGCGACTCGGCAAGATCAAAAGCGACCCGACAAGTCGACAGGACACAGAGTCTTTCAAAACGGATCCTGCTGGATTTAGAATTATGTCAGGCTGAAAAAAAAATGAGAAAAAGAAATGAGTTTGATGGAAGTGCAGAAATTTAACATGACTTTCAACTTTCAACACTTACAAACTAAACCAAAAGTTTAAAAGTTAAGAAAAAGTTTAAAATCAATTCCTTCAGAGGCTTCAGTTATAATTTATTTTATTCAAAAATAAAATTAATATTTAATATCTCTCTGTTTCGAGTTGAACAGTATTAATTTTTGTATTCTATTTCTTTTATAACACAACAAAATAATAATAATAATGAATTTGATAGAGATGAACTGTTTTCAATTCTTTTTCAACCTTTTTTGATGAAAATTCCAAATTCGAGAAATTCTAGCTAGATTTAAAATGGCGTTTTTTAAGTATTTGCAATGCTTTCTTCTTAAAAGTTGTGCGTGAAATAAGAACCTGTTGAAGTGTTGTATTCGCAAATGTATTAAATTTTCACTACACGACTCTTTGAGCTAGCGAGACGGTGTTGAAAAATATTGCTCCGTCGGCGGCAGCACTCAAGCGCAAATTTGTCCCTTGTCAACGCTCTCGTTCCTATGCAGTTTCGCTCATAAAAATCCCATTTTTTAAAGTCGATCCGCGACTCCAACTCATTTTTCACAACGTGGTCATTAATACAGCACGAATTGCTTTGTTTCTACCCTTTTCCTTTCATATATTTTTCATAAAAATACCAAAAGTTTTTAATTAAAAAATTGTGATGCTATTTTAAATTCACTTAACTGAAAGTAAATTTTATTCAATTAAAAAAATGAATTATCTCTGCTTGGGAATCTTAAATGTTAAAATAAAGAGCATAGATACTTCGCATTTAAGCTCAACTATGCTCTAGACTGCGGAGGAGCTCAATTTCCGCAATCTGAGAACCGCAACGTCTTTGATTAAAGTCTCACTTTCTGCAGCCTTAAAGGCCTTTCTTCAAAAGGTGGCAACGCAAACTCGAACTTTCCAGCTCGCACCGCCAATTACCGCGCCGAGGTGAATCTATTAAAGCGGCCCCGGTGGCTTAATTAAAATTTATGCCTTAATCTGATCGCCCGCCGTGCTGAATTATTATTCTGACCCGGGCGGTGGTTAATATTTCATGCCTGGCAAAATTATCGACTGCGTTTTTAATTAGCGCCGCCGTTGAAATTTTAATGGGTCTGCGTTTGATGGTGCGTTTAGCGTGGGTTGATTGAAACGAAGGACTTTGCCGGGACGCAACTCAGCCTGTTGCCATGGCAACCAAACTTAAGCAATTTGTTAATATTGTTTCATCACTATTATAAATTTCAATAGAACCCTTAAATTAGCTTGAAATGAATTATATTAATTATTTTTCTCTTCCAACACTTTAAAATTTTTTTAAAAGGAAAAATTAAAAGCTAGAAAAATTAAATTAAAGATTAAAATAAGTCTAGAAAAAAATGAATAATTTAGTTAAGTATTTAATTGAAACTTTTTTCAATAAAACTTAAATAAATATCAAATCTTCATGACATAATAATTGGAAGTGAAGACAACGGGCTCTGTCCTTTTTTCTAAAAAAAACTGTTTGTTCACAAACAAAACGGCTAAATTGAAAGATAAAAAACACATAAAAAAAAAAATTATGTACAAACCTACTGCACAAGCCAACGTCTCCTCAAGTGTCATTTTCTTCACTAGAAAACATAATTATATTCGTTATTGTTTGTCTGATAATTAGAAATGAAGCTATTTTCCACTAAATTAACAGTTTCAATTTCTTCTAATCATTTTTTTTCATGTTACTTGATTTTGAAGAGATGTAAAATTTAATTGTGAAATTCTACACTCCTAATTAAAATAAGCAAATTATTTTTCCCTGAACTGAAAATGAACTCGCGGCAAACTCGCCCACGTCGATATTATGATCAATCACTCTTTTAGTTCATCCTCCGCTCAAAGCTGCACCATTCCCAACTGACATAAATCAATTTCGCGAGCTTTGTGATTCGGCGAAGCGGCTCTTCGGCCCAATGGCCGCCGGCATCATTGCCTGCGCACTCTGTGCGAACCTTTGTGCTTCGTGCAATTCGTCTTCCGTCTCGATTCCAATGTACATTGGCATCAATCAAACGAGAAAATTTGCCAGCGGAAAACGTTCACAATATTCGATTTGTGCATCTGATCGTGTCAGTTTAGTTAAATTTATTTACGAGGAAAGAAGAACTCGATGTGCGTATTTCCTTTTGGATAAAAAAATTTATGCAAAAATTTCCTTGCATTGAAACCGGATAAAAAACTTAATAAATTAAATAATTTTTCTTTTTATGGTCAAATTTGAATAAAAAATATATTCAAATTTTTACACTTTCCTTAAAAAATTAAACTATCAAAGATTCATTTCAACTCCATTATCAGAACCTTGCTTTTAAATTAAATTACTTGCAGCGATTTTAAACCTAAATAATATTGCATAGAGTAGCGAAAATCCAATTTTTTTCCGCCCAGCAGAAACTTTTTTCAACTCGGTGCTGCAATAATAAATTCCGCGCTAATCACTATTTATTGCCCTCCCTTGTCTCGCGAGTTGTTTCGCAGCCTGCAACTAAATTAATTAATTAGCTCGCTCTTCAACTTTTGCCGAGTCTTCCTCTCTTTCCCTCTCCAGCGACTGGAGCATGTACATGTAGCGAGCGAAATAACTCGCATGTGTGCACATTATTATACGCTCACAATGGCGGTGCAGTGAACCAAATCCTGCCGGAGCGGCTCAAGAGGCGAATGAATTTTGCATGCAAGGAAGAGCCGCGGCTCAAATCGAATTTCGCTTGCCGCAAACTTTTCAAGAGCCGCGAGCACGATTCCAGCTGAAGAGTCAAGTACCGCCTCTATACTTTTCCCCACATGAAAACCTCATTGGAAAAACTGACCTGAACTTCTAACTGGTCCATTATGGATTTTTAATTACATATATCGTATAGAAAACAAGCAAACTGTAGTAAAATATAAAAGTTAAAAAGCTGTTCCCATTAATTTAGATAACAATGTTCTCCGAAATCCCTCTTATTGACTTTATATTTTATATCAAAAGTTCAGGGAAATTTTGATGTTATTAATAAAAAATTTACTCGTGAATCGATTCCCTGGGTCAAAAGTGCCCCTTGAGTTATCTCCAGCCTGCATTTCATGAAAAAAGTGTCTCTTAAAATAAACTTTAAATTGATTCTTCGTTTATCCTACGGTGGCGCTGATACTTGCAGATCATGAAAGAATTTTTGAGTGGCACTTTTTCGCGTTCAATTTGAGCTGACTGATCCATTTAATAAATTCTTATAAAGTTGGCAATTTTATAAATTGGTATAAAATTGTAAATTTTTGTCCCCCTTACAGAAAGCCACTATAATATTATTGCATAGTTTTATTGCAGAAATTTCCGATGCAAGCACATGGTGCCGCGGCACCATTATTTTTGATGGACGGGGTCGATACTTGGACAGCATCGATTTTATTTCAGGCCGATGGCCTCTGCAGGAGGGAAGTTCTTGAGCGAGTGGGTGGTTGGTGAGAGAGCAGCCCTTTAGCACTTCAGCACGCCCCTTTAAAGACACACTCGCATAGAAACTTTGGCCCACCCCCATCAACAAGAAAGAAAGAGAGAAAGAGAGGGCGCTTCTTTCTTTCACTCTTTCTCTGCAACTCTCTTGTTTCGCTTGCTCGCGGCGTGCGTTTAATTAAAAATTAAAATTGGACCCCTCCGGAGACTCAAAAACCACTCCTCACATAACCATATTGTTTGCGTCCTGATTTTTATATTCGAAGGTAGCACACAACTCGGTCGCTCTCGTTTTAATTAAAAAACTTTGAAAGGATTTCACGCCAAAGGTTTTCAGTATATAATTTTTTTACCGGCGGTGCAGCTGCTTTCTTGCTTTCAAAAGTTTGAATCGATACATGTATGAAATGTGGGTCTGCAACTTTGCTTTCTGCGAGACCGGTAATGTCTGCTCTGATTTGTTTGTGGCGCGTCGTTCTCGGCGAAATTGAGTTGGAAACATTCTCCAATCTGCGGTTTGCACCGCAGAATGCCATCCACTGTAACGTAGACGAACATTTTCCCTGAGAGAATGAAAGAAATAAAGGCTAGTTTAGAAATCGATTACCTAACTTTCAGCTTGAAAATAGTTTCTCGCACAACTGTTTATAATGTATTATATAAAAGTCAGCGTTGATGAAGTTTTGAAATATTTTCTGGCTTTATCAAATTGCTTGGATTATGCTATCAGTCTTAGAGAAATTTTTAAATAAATAAATTAAAAGATTGATTTTTAAGCCTAAAATTTAATTTAATTCTGATTTATTTTCTTAAGTTTTGGACCACATATGGACTCCTTATTGACATTGTTTAATTTTTAATTATATTTTTGCACCAATAGGAACAAATTTACAAAATATTTAGAAAACAATTGGAAATTTTAACAACCATTGTTGTAAAGACTTGATTTGACTATGTTAAAAAAGTGTCCTTAACAAATTTATTAATTTTAAATTTTATCAAAATGTTATGCATTTAAACAAATTAGAACACCAACCATTTTTTACCTGAATTGATAAAAAAATCTCCCTTTTCAACCTTGTAAAGTGGCTCTGATGTCAATTGCACGAGGCGCACCTCTCCATTTGGAACGCAATTTAAAATCGCACTCGTCAGTCTGTCACTCAAAATGTGCTGCCTCTGCGCTGGCACGCCGCAATTTGTGCCGAAATATCCGTGCAATCCCTGCTTGAAACGACATTTTGCGAGCACTCGTATTTGCGTAATGCACATACATATGTACCACCTATGTACACGCAAGAGCATGTGTGCGTATGAAACATTGAGCAGCGGGGCCGACTGAAGGGCTTTTCATATTTAAAAGTGCACGCGGTAATAACTAAACACGGAGAGGGACTTTATGAGCCAATCTGTATGCAAAACACGGGCGGCCAGCCCTCGACTGTGCATTATTTTCGCCCTATTGGACCCTCGGCTCCGTGAACGTGCAAACTTTTTCGTCAACCCTACGGATAGAGAGGCTGAAATGAAGCTAGCGAATTGAGACTTTTGACGAGTTTTTAGTACTGACAGGAATATATTTGCAATTTGTCCGCTCCGAATGTAAATTATAAGTCTCCATTTTTAGGAAAGCATTTTAAAAATAGTATTTTAATAAATTAATTCAAAGCAACATAAAATCAAAAACATCATGATCCATAAGTTTTTTCCATTGTTACCGTTTTTTTCTAGCGAAGACTGCAAATTTAAAAAAAAAATGTGGTGAACTATTTATCAGTATTATTATTATTATTTTTTTTCAAAACACAAAATACTCATTTATTATATTTTCCTTGAGTCTTTTTAATTCACGTCTAAATTATTAATTTGAATTTTTTGTGTTTCCACTTTCCTCACTCGTATATTATGCTGGTTGTTCCTCACTTTTGCTGTCTTTGCTTGGATTATACACCATTAAAACGTGTGTGCTGCACGGCCGGTATAAATTTTAAACATCTTGCAGCAGCGACCGTCCCGAGGATTAAGTCATAATTCCGTGCCGCGTGTCTGTTTGCTTTGTACAATTTAAATGGGCCATTGAATATTCATAGTCACGGCAGAGGCTTGCTCGCTGCTCTCTGCAGTCCTGGATTAGTTTTGCACGTGAGTGCGAGTAGGAAACTCGGTGTGAACTTAAATCCGTACACACTCATTAGTGAACTACACAAATGAGGGTGTTCTGAGAAATGACGGAAGTGGGTTGGAAAAGTTGCAGTGGCTAGGAAAAAGCGTAAAAAATTAAAATAATAATAATTCATTTCCAGATTTAATTTTTTTATTTACGTAAATAAAACTTTTTGCAGAAATTAAAAAAAAAAACATATTTTTCTCCTAAATGTGAAATAGTTAAATTAAAATAATAAGTTTTAAAAACAATTTTTCTTCGAGTACATACAAAGCTTGTTTTTCTCGTACAGTTAACAAATTTATTACACAAGTTTCTCTAGTTTGGATATGAATCCATTTCTGATATAAAATATTCAACTGACATGATTGTGTAATATAGAGGATTAAATTGTTTTTAAATTACTTCAATCTTTATGGAATATTTTGAAGAATTAAATAGATTTTTATTAATTGAATATCAAGCTGGTGATTTTTATAAAATTCAACATATTTTTTTAATGCCAGTAGCCCTTTTTGGACTCCAGGGACCACAGTGTTTTCAAAAATATTATGATCTTATTCCTCCGAGCAAAGATCTGGTTGCCTAAAATCAGGGAAAAACACCGATTCTCCCAAGAAAAAGGTCTTTAGCTCGTTTCATTGCGTTCTTTACAACGAACGTCCTTCAAAATAAAAATAAAAAATCATCTTCTATACACTCGGCTCATAAAAGCTTCATATATTTTTATTGCTTTTTTTGGAACGGCCTTTGATTGATCTGCCGTCGCTAAATAAAATATCCGAAACGCGAGAGTGATTGATTAAAGCATGAAATATGCATCAAAATGCACTGTCTTGAGCTGAGAGTTGCGAATCAATAAAAAAGAGGCATATCTTTCATGTCGTGAAAATGACGTTTTTAACAGACAACAAATATGCATAACAAGGTATAGATAGAGTGCACCTCGCTGAAATGAAATTTGCAGCTTTGATCTGGCGTTTCAAAGGAAATTTAATCGTCGGAATGTGCAACCCCCGTATGAAAAGAAATGGCTGCTTTAAAGATGCACTTTCCTGTATGAATAAATAGCACGCATTTATACAAATTGTTTTTTGCTCCCCTCGCAGCTGCAGCGACGACTCTCATAAAAAAGCTACACAGAAATGTACTTCCGATGAATCGGCGGCGAGGCCGTAAAAATTTATTCCAAATTTATTCGCTGCTCAGCAGACCGAGGCGAAAATAAAAGCCGCCGTCAATTTTCATCTCTGCAAATCCGCTGCTTCGTTTTGAGCGAAACGCCAGAACTGCTGGACAGAATTTGGTTTTTATTTATTTATTTTCTTCCGAAGGCAAAATTTATGACCCGACTGCTTAATTGCCTAATGGATTTGCGGTCGGGCGAGCTTTAAAAGAGGCCCAATCACAAAGAAAGAGAGAGAAAAGAGCCCTTTGCCCACACACCGCGCTGACTGAGTATTTTGTGTTTTGCTCGCGCACTTCTTTGTGCCGAGCACTTTGCTATGATTAAGCGAGTCATTAAGTGAGCTGCGTTTGTTTTATTTCGCAAAAACGCGGCATCAGTCGCTCCCACTTAACGTGTTTTGCAGCAATGAAGTCTTTTATCTGAAAGAAAAAGCGTACACTGGGCAATCAAAACCTCTGCTTTTGTGATGAGAGAGAGAAAAAGATACAAAAAGTAAACTTTCTTGTTTCTTTGTATTAAACAGAATTAAATTTTTTAAAGTTATTTTTGTTTTAAAAGTGTCTAATAAATTCTTTTAATTATCTTTTAGCTCAATAGTTTTCTTTGGATCTATTCATATGATTGAGCCATCCATAATTAATTGTTGTTCTAACAATGAAAATTAGTTCTAAATTGTTTTCAACATGAAATTCAGGGGAAAAAATGGAAAAATGGAAACAATCTAGCCTCAAAATTTTATCTTTTATTTTATTTGAAAATTTTCATAAAAAAATTTGATTCTAGTTTAAATGTTTCCAAAAAGAGTTCAGAACTTTCGTAAAATTTAAATTCGTGGACGTTTTATTAAATTTTTAATAACTTTTTGCAAAAATTATATTCTTGGTAGCTTTTGTATGGAATTATGTAAGTAAAGTGACATTTGAACCTTTCGAGCTTTGTAGCTTTGGCGCGTCAGTGTGACAGCTTTTTTGTCGCGATAATACTGCATAAATACGAGTCCTTCCCCGCAGACGGGCCATTAATGTTAAACACACACCCAGCGCGTCCTTTAACCTTTTCCTCGGCGTCACTTCTTTCCAACCAAAAGAAGAGGCGAACATCAGTCTGGAGGGCTTTTCCCTCTTTTTGGCGCGAGTAATCACGGCGCGACCAAAGCGGGCATTAAGGAAATGAAAATTCGCACTCGCAGAAATTGAAAAGCGGCTGCTTTTGTAATTCCATTTCGCGACTTTTGCGGGAAAGAAGAAGGGCACCGAGGCGGAATTATTGTTTCGAGAGCTTCTTCCTTAAGCGGGTGCATTATTCCTCCACCTCGTGGCACCCGATTTTCAGCTTGACGAATTTTCCGCCTGGAATAAAAAGAAGAAGATTAAACGCACCTTGGCTGCCAGGCGAAGGGGGAAACGTGAAAAATGTCCGGCTTCGGGTGAAAAATGGAAATTTTGATGCGGACGCGCGCTTCTCCCTTTCCTTAACAATGGCCGACGTTTTCACATCTCTCTTTTCTTTCATTCTCTCCGCTACTTTTTCACCATAGCGGTCGCGACTCATTATTGCAGAGTGCGAGTTTGGCCGCCCGGAAGGAGGAACGGCGAAATTAAATTTGCCTCCACACGAACGACGCCGGCGACAAAGTTTGCCGCGACGAGAAAAAAGTAGCGCTGCCACACGATCCGTTTTATTAACTTTGTTTTCGAGTTGGTTTCAAAACATTGCCACATTGCGAGCTGAAAAAAGTCTCTTGTTTCCTCGGGAAAGCGAAAAAACTTTCTGCATTCAAAATTATGAAATAAATAAACTGGCATATATATGTAATTTATTCGATGTGGCACGATTTTATGAAAATTGATTTGCAAAGTTTTTCCAAATTTTTCTCTTTTTCAATGTTTGAATTACTTGGAAAATATGTTACTTCAGCAGTTCTGTCAAAAAGACACTTGTGGTGCACATCAGCAATACTACAATATAATTTCTAATTTAATTAAGTTTAAATTTGATTTTTGAAGAAAATTGAATCTCAAGGGTAAAAGAAAAAGCAAGAAAAAAGACAATGAAAAGTTGGTTTTTCGTTTGCTCCCTTTCATTGTGCAAAGCCACCCTTTCAGTATAGTTAGTGTAAAGTGAGAATGACACTGCAACTTCGATTTTGGTGTGAGGGAGGCAAGAAGCAGAGCTGGCTTGCAGGATTTTCGTTTTCATTGAAAACTCCTCCTTAATGACATGACGAGCCCTTTTTTATTCTTTCTTGCCGCCTCCACAAATTTTTCTCCAAGCCATCAACATTGCATTAGGCGCTAATTTGCATTATTTATTTATTTTTTTCGCAGACAAGAGCCGCATCTTAACTAACTTCTTGTGCAACCTGCCATCGCCCATCCCCGAGCCACCCTTTGTGCTAGAGCGGGCCTCCCCGACTGCATGCCGTTCCTCGGTCCCAGGCCAGGCGCCAAGATGTCGTCCAGACACTCCTCCATGTTTTACACCGTGGAGGTCGGAGACACCAAGTTCACGATCCTCAAGAGGTACCAAAGCCTCAAACCCATAGGCTCTGGCGCGCAGGGCATAGTATGGTGAGTTAAAAAAAATATAAACTAATTTATTTTAAATTCTAATGTCTTTAAAAATTATTAAATAAAGTAAATTTAATACAATTTTAACCTTTTTTAATACTTTTATTTAATTTAATTTTCAAATTTAATACAAATATTAGACAAATTATTTTGTTAATTTTTGTATACATTGGTAATGTTAAATTATTTTTATATTCATTTCATTCTGTTTCAAAAATTTTAATTTGTGAGTTTTGTAAGCCAATAACTTAAAATTGACCTTAAAAAATTGAACTACATACCTGAGGTTAATTGATCATTATTGTTTTTAATTGAATTTACAGCACAAAATGGTGCATTCTTGATATATTTCATGCTGCCAGTTTTTATTAATAAAATAATTGAAATAATTTTGTTGCCCTGTTTCAGTGCTGCGTACGACACAATCAAGCAACAGAACGTGGCCATCAAGAAACTCAGCAGACCATTCCAAAATGTGACACATGCCAAGAGAGCATATCGAGAATTCAAGCTTATGAAGCTGGTGAATCATAAAAATGTAAGGAAATCGTAGCTCCGTGAAAAATGATAATGCTCCCTTCATAAAATCGACTGAAGAATGCCTTTGACAAAAAAAGTGGATAAATCACCGTCCCTTTTCCCCCGCATATTGATAACGCCTCAAAGAGATTTTTTCCAATCCTCTTCCTTTGTTTGCTAACAATGTTTCCGGTCGACAGATTATCGGACTCCTGAATGCGTTCACGCCGCAACGCTCCTTGGAGGAATTCCAGGACGTCTACCTTGTGATGGAACTCATGGACGCAAATCTGTGTCAAGTTATACAGATGGACCTGGACCATGAGCGAATGTCGTATCTGCTGTACCAGATGCTGTGCGGAATAAAGCATCTCCACTCGGCAGGAATAATTCACAGGGTCAGTTTAAAAAAAAAATGTTAAATGAGTAATAATCAAATAAAAATTTCTCATAAAAAAGTTTTATAATTTATATTTGCAAATTTTAAATTTTTTTACGAATAAAAAATAATATTAACATGATTATTTATTTAAGAAAATCACACCGGTGTTTAATTATAATTTAAATTTTAGGACCTGAAGCCAAGCAACATTGTGGTCAAGTCCGACTGCACCCTGAAAATCCTGGACTTTGGTCTTGCGCGCACCGCAGGCACGACCTTCATGATGACCCCTTACGTGGTGACACGGTACTACAGGGCGCCCGAGGTCATCCTCGGCATGGGCTACAAGGAGAACGTGGACATCTGGTCAGTGGGCTGCATCATGGGCGAAATGATCCGTGGCGGAGTTCTTTTCCCTGGCACAGACCACATAGATCAGTGGAATAAAATTATCGGTGTGTTTTTCTAAATATAATTTATTATTCAATTCTGATTTATATTTTTGTGCAGAGCAACTAGGCACTCCCTCGCAGGGTTTTATGCAAAGACTACAGCCAACTGTTAGGAATTATGTCGAGAATAGGCCTCGCTATCCGGGCTACTCCTTTGACCGCCTGTTTCCAGATGTTTTGTTCCCGACAGACTCCTCAGAACATAACAAATTGAAAGGTTACAAATTGTGAATTTTCCTCAAAATTTTCAATTAATGATTTTTTGTCATTTCAGCGAGTCAAGCTCGAGATCTGTTATCACGGATGTTGGTGATCGATCCAGAAAAGAGGATATCCGTTGACGAAGCTCTCCTGCACCCATATATCTGTGTATGGTATGACGAAGGAGAGGTCAATGCGGTAAGAATCATCGTAAGAAATAAATTCAACATTAACTTATCTTACTGGCTAGAAATAGATCTATGGTTCAATTTTTTATTGTAGTCGTAGTCTTTTTTTTAAATTCCAATAATTACTGCAAATAGATTATTAAAAATTAGACATTGTAAATGTAAAAATCAAATTAGTAACTGCATTACTTAAAATAATAATAATAATAATTACATTTCGGAAAGATGCATACATTAGATTTTAGTATTTACTAAAAAATGTTCAAAATTTGTAGAAGAAAAATTCAAATCATACTACATTTTTTCTCAAAAGTTTCACACACAATGTGTTTAATAAAATTTATAATGATAAATTTTTGACAATTATCTAAACTTAAACTTATGAATTTTAAAAACTTCATTATTTTGCGGCTCTCGATGCTTTCTTCTTTTTCAATCAATCCATTGCGTCAATGTGCTTGTAATACTGCAAATTTCTATTGTTCTGGTTAACTCTTTAATGCAACCTGTTTTATCACCATTTTCTTATCCCAGTCTATTTTGAATTGAGCGCTTTTCTTAATACCATATTAGAATTAAAAGAATATTTTATCCTCTGAATGTTTTAAATTCTTTGAAATTGCATTTCTGTTATAAAAAGAATAATTTTCCACTCTTTCCTGTATATTTAGAAAAATTAGAAAACTGCCTTAGACCAGATTTTTCACCAGAATTTAATTTCAGCCTGCTCCTGGGCCGTACGACCACTCGGTGGACGAGCGGGAGCACACAGTGGATCAGTGGAAGGAGCTGATCTACCAGGAGGTGATGGAGTACGAGATGACTCACAACTCGATGAACAGCACGCAGCGGGCAGCTCAGCAGGCGGCCGCTGACAACGGCGAGGATCACTCCGAGGCGGCCGCTGCGGCCTCGCAGGGTTCGTCCTCACAGACACAGCAAGGCTCAACCAGGCGGTAGATGTGAAGGGTCCCTTTCGTTTTGTGCAAGCAAGAAAAGCTGTTGCAACAAGAAGAAAAGCAAGCAGGAAAGAAAAAAAAGAAAGAAAATTCCCTCTCCTTTTTACCTCCGTCCTTTAGTGGAAACGAGCGAAGCGCGGACACTTGTTGTGGAGAAGATTTAATATTATTATTGTATCGTTTTAATTTTTGTTTCTGTCTGTGATCCAAAGGGTGGATGCAACCAAGCATAAGAAGAATCACACTTGTACACATAAAAAAAATACACACACAAGCACGCATATACATAAGAAAGCGGACTTCTTTCCCAAGTGAAGAAGGAGAGATGTGAAAAGCTGCTATTTTTAGTCTCTTTGGACAGTCTCAGATGGTAGCCTAGAGAGGAAATTTGTTAGAGACAAAGTTCTAGTTGGTGTGATTTTGATGAAATGCAAAATTTTCTCGAGTTTATTCACGCAAGAGACAGCTTTTTGATATTTTCCTTGGACGTTGTCATTATATTATATACATTCTCTGTTCGTCTTTTATTATATGAACCAAGAAAGACACACTTCTTGTGTTTTTACTCAAAGTGAACTGCACTAGCAAGAAAATAATGAATAATAAAATAATAATAAATAATAATTCCGTTCCTCTGTAAATAGCGTCACATAAACACTGAGCGAAAAGAGATAAAAAAAGGAAACACTAATTTTATCGTTGTTCTGTTCCTTTTATTGCGAAAAAATAAAATGACAAAAAATACATTTCTGTGAACAAAAAGTTTAAAAATGTAAAAATAATTATCATTAGTGTCATGTGAAATTTAAAATGCAAGTTTCGTCTGCTAAACAGGAAACACACTCTATAGTAAAGGATTATCAATTAAAGCCAGACAGACTTCCTCAAGTGGTGAGAAGTGTACGTTAGCAGTTACAAGCAAGTTACAAAATATCATGTATACAGCGTATGGAGCGAATGAGAGCTTTTGGAATAATTTTACTCGGTGATGAGTATGTTTTTAGAGGATGCAAATGTCAATGTGAGTGATGGTTGGTGCCACCGAATCATTATGATGATTAATATTATCATACTTTTAAAACTCTCAATTTAATACAAACATACATTTCGTTGCTGCGTCTTACAATTCTCGACTCACACTACTTTTATCTTTTTGTGGACACGCTGAATTTAATAAAAAATACAAAATGCTCAGATAAATAAATGTGTAATGGTGCAATATTTTTCTCTAAAAATCATTTCCACCAAAAACAGAGAAAATATCCAAGTACTCACTTAATATTGTCAACAATAGCAAGAGTGGTTGTTAGACAAGGGAGAAGAGGATGAAGTGATTTGTCTTAAAGAATTCAATGTGTGTAAAAACCGATCATTTTCTCGATAGAGCTTTTTCTGGCATCTTTTCAAACCACTGTGAAAAGATGAAAACAAACCCGTGCTGCTTTGAAATCAATCGATAATGATTCAGGCTTTTGCTTTGAAATAGACCGCAAAAAACCGAAACTGCAAAAAGAGAGGCAATATATATATAAAAAATAATTATATATAAAATACACAAAACTTGGAAGTTGCAGTTTTTCCAGCTCAGACTCTTCCGAAGGGGAGAAAAGTTACAAGTAAATCTATATTATAGAGATGCATACAAAAATAAGAACTTCCACTTTGTTCTTCTCGAAAAAAGAAAAAAAAGAGTAACATAAAAAAAATATATATCGAGTTGAAAGTGCGAGTCCAGCACGTGTCCAGCGCTATCAAATTTTTCTAGTGAGAGTCTGCCACCAGCACCACCAACGGGAGTTTTGTATTAAAGACTGAACGCCACGCAAAAAAAACTTTGAATTTAGAATGGGAAAAAAATCGTGTCTGTTTTTTCGGAAATCGTTCGTCCCAGTGGCTGCCACACACTTTGTTTTATTTTTCCGTTTTGTAGACCTGAGAGAGACAATCTTGTGCCGGAAAATTTGCGGGAGGTGTGCTTGTGAAAACTTTAAATTTAAAAAAATTTTGTCATGAGTGGAAAATGTCGAGAAAAGAATAACCGTGGGGTGCACGGCTCGAGTTTGGTTTTGAAAGAAAAAACACCTGGATTATAGCAACGAAGAAGTTTTTTTCAAATAAAGCTTTTATCTTGTTCCAATAGAGATCATCAGAAAATAAACTCGTATTTTTGGCACACACTCGTGATTCGTGAACAAATTGAGATGCCGTTGAAACTGTTGCATTTAAAAAGTTGTTTCGTCCCCCCCATCAGGTTTTTGTAAAAAAGAAGAAATTGTTATCATGATAATTGTCCCTGATCCGTATTAAAGCGATACATTTTCTTTTTATTCACGACCTGGTACAGAGATACAGTTTCATTATTGGACATTATTATTAATAACTATTGGTGGTGTGAGAGCAAATGATGATTTGTGAAACGGTCCCTTAATTACTGGACTACAAAGAAACCGCAGGAAACAAATGTGTGTCTCCGTCTTTTTTCCTCTGAGCGTCCTTATGAATATTTGTTGCCTTCAAAGAATAAACAAAAATGCTCAGTAGCTGAGCAACCTTGAGATGTTCGTTTTTCTTTTACTAACCCATTAATAAGCCAATAAAAAATATATCACAAAGTAATTAAAAAAAAATAATAATAATTAATTAGGAATTCTTAGCGGTATTAGTCATTTAATAACAAATGCAGTCAAATATCAATTCATTTTACTGATAAATTTTCATTAGATACTCCGCCATTAAATTAATTTAATGAAATTTAATAATTTTAGTCTTTAAGTTTAAGCATTTTGGCAATTCTGCTTACTTTTCCCGCCACAAGTGCCACTCCCAAAACCCTCAGACGAATCTGACCAATCACGAGCGTCCGCCATGCTTGGCTGTGGTCACGTGACCCTGCATTTGTTTTGAGACCAGGGTGTGTTTCTCTCTCGGCCCATGTAACGTCGCTGGTCCTCAACTCTTTCTGACCGAATTTCGCCCTAAAATGGACTCGCAGACGTTATTCAGGGTGGCCGCCCTCCTGGTCCTGCTGGCCTTGTGCGCCCAACAAGGTACTGCGGCCGCCGAAGGCCTTTTTTCCACTCGGAAGCCGGTGGGAAATCCACCTGCACGTCAAGACCCACCTGTTGTCAAAAGGAATTCGACCTTTTTCTAACCTTTTTTTATTTTCGCAGGCGAGGCCATCAAGTGCTGGGTGTGCAGGTCGGACGCTGACCCTAAGTGCGCTGACCCCTTCGACAACTCGACCCTGCCCATCACAGACTGCTCCAAAGAAGTCGGCTTGTCGCACCTTCCGGGCATACGCCCTAATCTCTGCAGGAAGATCAGGCAGAAAGGTGAAATTTTTATTTATTTGGATTTTTCTAGAAGTAGTTTTTACTATTTTTCGCTTGTTTTTTGTACCTCCTCAAAACACTTTGCTACATATAAAAATGTAAAATTTCTTGTTTAATATTTTTTATGAAAATGTTGAAAAATATTATCGAATTCATAATTATTTAATTAATAAATAAATATATTGCTTATTGCAGAGTGTTAGTGTGAAGGAGAAAAAACCCGGAATATTATTTCAAATTGAAAATTATTAATTATGATGTTTGTTTAATTTCTCTAAATTTTATTTAATTATAAATAATAATTTTTTTAATATTAATTTTTTTTTATGAAGGTATTAAAATTTCTTTATGTCTGAATTCTTTATTATCAATATTAATATAAAAAAAAAAACATATTTAGATATTCAGGCAATATAATTCAATTACAGATTTCAACTTTAACTAATCTCTTTAATTTTTCACAGTAAATGGCAAGTGGCGCTACTACCGCAGTTGTGCGTATCTGGGAGAACCGGGTATTGGAGGCGACGAGCGTTATTGCCTGATGCGTTCAGGCACCTACAACATCTTCATGGAGTACTGCACCTGCAACAGCAAGGACGGCTGCAACTCGGCAACAAGCAGCTCCCTTTCGTGGTTGGCCGTCGCTGCTGCGGCCACGACGGCCGCCCTCAGAAGACTAATATGACCGTCCTAACTTTGATATTATTTCAACTGAAAGAGACTTTTTGATTGTTTTTTTAGATAGGGTGCATCGAATCTCGTTAATCAGAGGAGAGATTTTTTTTCTCTCGAAAAGCCTGCTTTTTGGCAGAGTTCGGAAAGAAAGAATCGTATTTTAAGGAGAGCATTGACAGATGGAGGCCTTCAATATTTTCAAGTGCTGACTGTAGAGATAATAAATATACGTCCATATTTTGTGAAAATGATCCGTCCAAATAGGAAATGCAGGTTTTATAGAAACCCTATTTTTAAAGAAGACAACTAATCTCCCAATTATTTTGCCAAAAAAATTAATTCCACTGGCTCAAGTGTAAAAAGCCATTAAAATGTTTTTTTCCAATTGTGGCAGCATATCATTCCAATTTTAATATACAATTGTCATTAAATTTTACTTTTGAATTTGATGAGGAAAAACAATGTAACAAAATTCCTATGCTCATTCCATAGCTTGTAGATACCGAATCAAAAATCATGTATTTTTGTATTGACATAATTAATAAATTTTATTTTTACGTTTTAATATACAATCTGACCATAACAATTGCTTCACAGAGAGAAACGATGATACAATGATTGTTCTGTCTGTTGTGTTGATGTAATAATAAAGACCAAATTGTATAGCAATAGAATATTTTTTTATCACAATGAAAATTACAAGCCCCAGATATTTTTTGTTAAATTGAAAGTAAGATCTTTTTTGTAAATTGTAATAATGAGGATAATTTCAATTAAAAGTCTTGGATCAGCTAAGTTGGTTCATGAGCAGGAGAGGGCAGTCGGCAGTACAAATATCAGGTGTCCCCGACCACTCCTCTCAGGACAGGAAGCAGCGGCTCGAGCTGGGGTTCGAGGGCAAGGACGTGGCCTGTGTTGCACGCACTGTTGGTCACAAAAGTTACCACCAAGGGCAACTTGTTCATCTGAATGACCTACAAATAAAAATGTCAGATTTTGATGGAAAACAAAGTAGGTTTTCGTACCTGGAAATTCTCGTACATGCAAATGATCGACTTTGTTTTTCCGAGACCAAGTTTGCCTCCTTGATCAGTTGCTATTCCAAAAGTGGACAGGAAATTTGTCCTCATGGCTTTGTCTGGGGCGTCATCAGTGCTGACTGTTGAAATTTAGGTTAGGATTTAGGATAAAATTGTTTACCAAATTGATATTATTTAAAAATTAAACCTTTTAAAACTGGAACTCCATCTCTGTCGGAAATGATTATGCAGTACAATCCATCAACTCTGAAAAGCAAACGAATTAAAATAATTTATTTAACCTTAACTTGATAAATTTTTAGTTTTGAGCATAAAAATCAAAGGAACTATTACTTTGAGAGAAGCCTCCTTAGATATTTATTCATGTCCTGAAACAGTGCACAGTGATCAGTCAAATTAAATTAATACAAAATTAAGCTTTAATATCACTTTACCTCAACCATTTTTAGAAACTTTCAGAATCGCACGAGCTTTACAATAAATTCGTAAAAATTATGTATTAGCGCGTTTCCAGTCCCGAGTGTGTGAGTCAGGTGATGTTTTGATTTTTGATTGTTGCTCTGACAGCGGTGGACACGCCCCTTTTTCTGCTATAAATGCCGACGGAACAGAAGATAGGAAGGCGAATTCATATTTTTATAACTCGCTGGAGTCTGAGATAACTGAGATTAGGGGAAACTCTGATGCTCACTAACATTCGCTCTCAAAATACTACTCAGTCTTCATTTTAAAGCCTCGTTGCAGGAACTCAGGAACTCATCTTTCTCCAGAATCATTCAAAAGGTCGGTTAAAAATGTTTCATTTTTAAAAATTCTTTCTGGACGAATTCTTTGGGAAAATCTGCAGAATCATTCAAAAGATCCGGTTGTAGAAATTTAAATTTTGAAAATTCTTCCTTAAAGAATTATTTGAGAAAATTCGCAAGAACTCATCTTTCCAGAATCATTCAAAAGGTTGGGCGAAAAATATTTTCAGTTTTGAAAAAAATCTTTTTAGGAATTAAGATTTATGTGGGGAAATTTGCCAGAATAATTTTAAAGGTCAAGGGGAGAAAATTTTCTAGTTTGAAAATTTCTTCCTGGAAGAATTCTTTGAGAAAATTCACAGGAGCTCTCACCTCACCTTTCCAGAATCAATTTGAAGGTTCGGTTGAAAAATGTTTGTTTTTTAAAAATTCCTTTCTGGAGGATTTTTCTCTAAGAAAATATGCACAATTATTCAAAAGGTCGGTTGATGAATTCTCAACTTTGGAAAAATTCCTTCTGGAAGAATTCTTTGGGAAATTTTGCAGGAACACATCTTTCCAGATTCATATTTGAAACACCGGCAGTTGAAGAATTATGTAATTTTCAATTTTAAAATAATTCTATCTGGAAGAATTTTTTGGGAAAATTCGCAGCTAGGATCTCATTCTTCCTGAATTATTCAAAACGTTGGGCGAAGAATTTTAAATTTTGGAAAAATTTGTTCTAGAAGAATTCTTTGGGAAAAATTTTCAACTTCGCCAAAGTTTTGCTGTTGGTTTATATTTCTTATCTGTGATGTTTGACAAACTTTTCAATTTCCAGCAGGCTTTTCACGATGGATGAGTTGCCATTCATAATAGGAATCATCCTCGCCATCATAACAGTGCTGAATTTTTCTCTGCACAAACTTGAGGAAGGACACGTTGGAGTGTATTACAGAGTATGCATTCAAAATAATCAAATTAATTATGCTAGAAAATTATTTAATAATAAATAATAGGGAGGAGCTTTGCTTCAGCAAACGAGCAATCCAGGGTTCCACATGATGATCCCATTCATCACCTCCTACAGGGCTGTCCAGGTATGAAAATTATTAAAAAAATATTTCAATAAAATTAAACGTTTTTTTAATCATTCAGGTCACCCTCCAGACTGACGAGGTGAAGAATGTGCCCTGCGGAACAAGTGGTGGAGTCATGATTTACTTTGACCGAATTGAGGTTGTCAACGTCTTGAGCGCGGACAGTGGTTTGTATTTTTTAATCAACAATACTCAATTTTTTTAATCGAGTTGGTTCCACAGTTTACGACATTGTGAAGAACTACACGGCTGATTACGACAAAGCTCTCATTTTCAACAAAGTGCACCACGAGTTAAACCAATTCTGCAGCGTCCACAGCTTGCAAGAGGTTTTTAATTCTCTGTTTTGACTATTGGATTAATTCTAAGGCTTCTGTGCGTTTGCAGGTTTACATTGACTTGTTTGACCAGATCGACGAAAATCTCAAGGTGGCCTTGCAAAGGGACCTTAACGAAATGTCTCCTGGCTTATACATTCAAGCAGTTCGAGTCACAAAGCCAAAGATTCCCGAGCCAATTCGGAAGAATTACGAGCTGATGTAAATTGCATTGTTTATCATTCTCACCTTATTCTCACCATTTCAAATGATTTAATTTTTATAGAAAAGGAACATTAAATAACCAGTCAATGTGTGCAAAAATGCTTAAATAAAATATTTTATTTTTGCAGGGAAGGAGAAAAGACCAAACTCTTGATCTCGATTCAGCACCAGAGAGTTGTTGAGAAAGATGCCGAGACGGACAGAAAAAAGGCCATCATTGAGGCAGAGAAGGAAGCTCAAGTTGCCAAAATTCAGTTCGAGCAGAAAATCATGGAGAAAGAGTCCTTCCAAAGAATGTCTCAGATTGAAGGTTTTTCATAGATTTTTCAAAATTCTTTTTACAATAAACAATTTTTGTATTCAGACGAAATGCATCTGGCTCAGCAGAGGAGTCGCTCGGACGCTGAGTTCTATCAAATGCAGCGCCAAGCAGAGGCAAACATCCTGTTGCTCACCCCCCAGTACCTGGAGCTGCGCAAGTTTGACTCCATTTCCAGCAACAACAAGATCTACTTCGGCAACGAAATTCCCAAAATGTTTGTCAACGGAGGTTGTAGCAGTGACACGCAATCTGTCCAGGCTGCTGCAAATGCTGCCGGGTCCAATGCGGACAAATCTGAGTAATACTCGACTGTTTATGGTTGTGCCTTGACGTTTGGTATGTATGGCACGCACATCTGAAGGAATGTTGTTTAGTTAAAACTTCACTGATTATTAATTTGTTTGCGACAACAGTCAGTGGCCTCAGAAAATTGGGTCCCGTCCTGCGAATAATTCCCTGAAAATTTTTCATTTGCGAGACAAGAAGAAGTTGTAATGAATTTGTACGTTAGAGGACTTGTGTACTTGATTGGCCATTGTTCTGATCCACGATCTCGAGTGTTTTCATAGACAATTAGTGAATTGAGCGATCCAAAGCTTCTCTCCTAATGTTTCAACTTTTCCATATTTCTCTCCTTTGGAATCACATGCTAAATAAAAATAGTACCTTAAAAATGTCGAGACCAATATGAATCAGGAATTTTAAGACAATTTGAGCCGAATTAACTGTAGCTACTTCAAGAAAAACAATAAATCACCTTGTACACGGTTATATTATTCTCGATCGCAAAATCTTGTTATAGAAAAAGACGTCCTGCTTGAGGCTGACTTGTTGCTCAATTATGGAAACGAGCATAATTATGACAAGTACCAAAGAGTTTTGAGCAGGATTCCCTTGCCAATAAACTTTTGTGATTAATGAATATGTAGGTAATTTAGACTTTACCCAAATTGCAAAACTTAACATTGACCCTGAATCAGATTGTATCCAAGAAAATGCATTAAGGAACTTGTATATTGTTCCTGTAACAAAAGTTGTGACGTAAATTCCCCCCATTTCACTCTTTCCCATTTCAAGTGTGAGACAATTTTCAAGTTGCCAATAAAAAATTTTGAATTACCTTCAATATTGAGAATATCATTAAAAATACCTTACAATTAAAAAACGCTGTTCTCATTTAAAAAAGTATATTTCTTCATATTTTTTTATTCAGCAATATCCAATTGAAGTCTGTGTTGTGTTAAATTAGTGACCTCGTTCATCACGTCTGGCTGCAAAAGTTCAGTGATCTAAAAGTAAAACCGATTAGTAAAGGGCACATTTAATAAGTGAAAAGAGCTAACTGTGTATTTCATAGATTCTTCGTAAGCATAAATGATTGATGTGTCGTAAAGCATCATCTTTGAACTAGCAAGGGCTAAAATGCAATTTTTCAATCTGGCAATTACTTCTCTGTCTGCCTTTGGCACTTCCTGAAATTTCAAAATGTTCAACTCTTTCAATGTAAAAAAGATTGACCAGACCTTTTCTAAATCTTGAACGAATCCTCCTGCCACACCTCCATCTTCCTGATGGTCGAGACCGCCAGCAGGACAAATCCACACAAACCCGTTGTTGCCCAAAATGACGGCAGCTCCGTTAGGCAAACTGTGGAAGTGGTTTTTCCGCCTCATGATCAATGAAGGGAAGACTTTCACCAATACTCCTTGCGACAACTGAAAATAGATTTGATAATTTATAATGATAAAATCAGTGAAATGTTAATTACCTTTCCATATCTCAAACTTCTTGTGTGCAGTGAAAGGGCTCCGTCCTGGAAAACGTTCATCACCTCAGCACTGATGAGATCTCCCTCTTGCAAATACTTTCGCATCATTTTCTCATCTTCCGAAGATCTCCTTCTCTGCGAAAATTATTAAAAACAATAACCTATGAATTAATAATTCTTTCAAAATGAATCTAAATAAAAAATTCGTTCAAATTTTAAAAACTAACAACTCTTTTTTGTTAGAAAAAAAAATAAGTTGAATATTAAAAATAAAAATGAAAACGCTGAATGACAGTAAAATTTGCTTTAAAAACTTTAATCTCATGAACGCTTGTATGTAATGATAATGATTTCATGCCTTACCAGTTCACCACCAGGAAGGTTGACCGAGGACAGCAGCAAAACAGACTCGAGTCTCGCATTGGTGTCCACCTTCCATCTCTTCTGCTGCACCTCAACTATCCTGCCGACGACCACGTCTCCGATCTCTCCGTTGTACCTGCTCTTCAGGGGCTTGATTGAGATCAATTTGTTGACTTGCTCCTTCACTCCAGCCACGGAGGCCTTCAAATCGTCGCCCTCGGTGTACGTGCCATGACCTCTGCAAAAGTTAGGACAAACTCAGCATGCCAAAAATTGATAGAAAAATGTGTTTTGTTTTGTGAAATCCATATAAGTCTGTACCTCATGAAGCCGGCGCATGTTGGAATGTCCTCGCCGGGAGTGAAAAGTTTGGGCAAATCGGTCTCGGACACCTGAGCTGGACGAATCCGGTCGCAAGCAAGGCGAATTTGCACGTCCGTGTCAACCATGCTGGCCCCGGCTTGTTTGTTTTGATTTTTGTGTTGTGGAAAAAATAATGGCGCTCTTGTAGGCAGAAGGGGAGGGGGAAACCCGCCAACTCGCCCGTCCCTGGATTATCGCTGCTCCCGCAGCGCAGCGCATGTAGTATTGTAGGCAAACGCGTTTAATAAAAAGAATTATTATATTATCATTACATATTTAATATATTATAAATTAAATTGTAGCGTCTTGAGCATGGATCTGTGATCAACCACAACCATAAAAATAAATTATTAATAATTTCAACTAATAATAATAATGTAATCATTATCTGATTACGTTCAAAAAAGGCATCTTGATCACAGTTAAGTGAAATCGGTTTCGGTCTGTTTTTATTGACTTCACAATAGACGTCAAGAGAGTGTCCGCGAAATTCAAAAAAATATTTAAATCATAAAAAATTCAATAAAAATGAACTAAGTATATTACATTTTTTAATTTATTATTTATTCATCATTTATATTTTTATTTTATTTTTCATTTTTGATATTGGTAAATTAAACTATATAATTTTCATTTTTATAGTTTAATTTACAGATGCGAGCGTGTAAAAAATTGTTGAAATCCATTTTTCTTTCACAATTATTATTAATTCACATTAATCAATGACACAATTTATTTTTCAATTAAATTTGTTTCCTTCATTTGATTGAAATAAACAGTTGCCACTGTATGAATGATTACATGAAGCTGAAACGTCGTAATGAGTCATAGGCACTAATTTAATTATTAAAACCATGGTAGTTAGTTTTTGTCTAGCCATCAAAATCAAATTAAGGATAACCACGCCCTGCGGCTTTTAAAACCACCTTTGGAGTTTGGATTATCCCAATATTATATTGAATATTTGCCCGACCAGGAAAACATGCCTTGGGCCGTTTCTGACTATGAATAACAAGGAAATAGAGAGCAACAACAACTTTAAAATTTCATAAATTTTATTTGATGTGTTGATCAAGATTAGGGTAACCGCTGATGCAAACTAACACCCCCTCCACCATACAGTCTTCATTGAATATGGAAAGACAGAACACCTCGGAATCAATAAGGTCTGCGTCTATAAAATTTTACTCAATCTGGAAAAAAATCAACTACATTTTGTTTTATTATCAACAATTATTTTCAAGCTTTTCTTATTTCAAGCATGCCTTCCAAATTTACGGATAATATGAAATGGTGGCCATTCATTATCTTGGCCATCATAATTGGGGCGGTGAGTTTTACTGCAAATCTTTGAATATATCTTGATTATAATATAATTAAATTATTTCTCCTCCATATAGATAACAGGAATGTCCATTTTTTCCGTACACAAGATCGAGGAAGGGCATGTTGGAGTTTATTATAGGGTATTTAATTTTATTTTAAATTAAACATTGAGGTGAAACTGTTTTTTTTTTTAATACGTGTGCATATAGGGTGGAGCTTTGCTTCGGCAAACAAGCAATCCAGGGTACCACATGATGATCCCATTCATCACCTCCTACAAGGCTGTCCAGGTATAAAAATATTTAAAAAAATATTTTAAGAAAGTTTAATGTATTTTTTAATCTTTCAGGTCACTCTCCAGACAGACGAGGTGACAAACGTGCCCTGCGGAACTAGTGGCGGCGTCATGATTTACTTTGACCGAATCGAAGTTGTCAACATTTTGAGTTCGAGCAGTGGTTGGCATTTTATAAAAACACAAAATTCAATTTTTTTAATCAAGATATTAACGCAGTTTACGACATTGTGAAGAACTACACGGCTGATTACGACAAAACTCTCATTTTCAACAAAGTGCACCATGAGTTGAACCAATTCTGCAGCGTCCACAGCTTGCAGGAGGTTTTAAGCTGCTAATTTGACAACTGGATTATTTCTAAGGCTTTTATTTGTTTGCAGGTTTATATTGACTTTTTTGACCAGATCGATGAAAATCTCAAGGTAGCCTTGCAAAGGGACCTCAATGTAATGTCTCCTGGCTTGTATGTTCAAGCAGTTCGAGTCACCAAGCCAAAGATTCCAGAGCCCATTTGGAAAAATTATGAGCTGATGTAAATTTATTATTTTTTAATGTTGTTTAAATCTTTTAGGCCGATTGCTATAATAAAAATTAAATTTCAAAGGACGTTGAATTTGCCAATTTATATATCCTTTTTTTCTGATTTTGACAACATTGATGAATTTTTGCAGGGAAGGAGAAAAGACCAAACTCTTGATCTCGATCCAGCACCAGAGAGTTGTTGAGAAAGATGCCGAGACGGACAGAAAAAAGGCCATCATTGAGGCAGAGAAAGAAGCTCAAGTTGCCAAAATTCAGTATGAGCAGAAAATCATGGAGAAGGAGTCCCTTAAGAAAATATCTCAAATCGAAAGTAATTTTTTGCCCATGTTATTTTAGTTTTAGAAAACCGCCATTCTTGCTTTTAAAATTGCAGACGAAATGCATCTTGCTCAGCAAAAAAGTCGCTCGGATGCTGAATTCTATCAAATGCAGCGCCAAGCAGAGGCAAACAATATTTTGCTCACCCCCCAATACTTGGAGCTGCGAAAGTTCGACTCCATATCTAACAACAACAAAATCTACTTTGGCAACGAAATTCCAAACATGTTCGTCAATGGAGATTGCAGCGTTGACAAGAAATCTGTTCAAGCTGCTGCGTCCAGTGCGGACAAACGTAATTAAAATGAGTTCAGGAATTTGAAATAAATTTGATGATGAAAATTCAAATAGTATAATTATCAATAAATATAATATTTGAAATTGACTTTCAATGAATTGGGAATTTTTTAATTTTAAAAATAATAAAGAGAATTTTGATTTCACAAATCGGAAATAAATATTTTTATTTGTTGCTTTTAAATATCAGTCTGATTTGATACTCGATTCCGCAATCGCAAATATTGTTTTGGAATTACTGAATAAATTTATTTATTCAATAAAAGATTATATGAGTAAAACTCCATAGCAAATTTACTTATTTTAGTTTATTATAATTATATTATATCATTATATATTTAAAAAAAATTACAAACTTTATTATTTATAATTTGAAAATATAATTTAAATTTTAAATAATTTACCTTCATTTGAATGTATTCATCAAGCTAAAAAAATAAAAATAGCTAAGTTGCAGTTTCACTTCATTTAATCATTTATTATTATATCTGTGTTGTGAGTTAATTGTGAAATCTCTGCTGCTTCTTATAAATGTGATTCTCTTATTAAAATTTAATGTTATTATGATAAATGAATTGATTAATTATTATAAAATTAATAGGTTATAAAGTCTCACTGTGGTGTTGGCACCAAGTAATTAAAAAGCGTTTGTAATTCGTCATAGAGTACTAAGACCAATGCACCGCTCATTCCTCTGAGGATATTTGTAAAAGCACCATAATAGAATGCGCCGAAACCCTCGTTTCGCATAATGTAGGTGATGCAATGCAAACTGTTTGAGTACAACACTTCGTTCCTATTGCAACCGGACTGCATCATCATACGCCGGCGGATGGTGTCGGTTGGGTATGCAAACAAACCAGCCAAAGTTGTTGTCACCTGCGACAGAGGAAGAAATTTTCCTTATTTATGAAATGAAAAATAATCATTAATCAGGCCAACACATTTTCCCAAAATTGCCCAAAATCAGAAAATTAATTGTCTTGTCTGATATTTACTTATATTATTCAAAATTGTTCTATAATTTCTTAAATTTTTACAATTAATCTATTTTTTTCTTTTTATATATACCTGTGCAAGTAACAATTTTGTAAATACGTTCAAATTCTCTTCGCCGACGAACTCCTTAGACGCGTCCCAAAGTCCAAAGTAAGCACCCCTGTATAGAACAATGCTAATCAGGGACATGGTGAAGCCACGGTAGAGGCCAGCAATGCCGTCCGATTTGAAAATCTTCTTGATGCAATCTATCAATCCGGTAAACTCGCGCTCCTCCTTCGTCTTGCCGACGTCCGCGCCTAAACGCGTCCGCACAAAGTCCAAGGGATACACTATGGAGAGGGACGTTGCCCCTGCGGCACTACCGGCAACCACGCTGCCCGCAAAGTAGCCCCAAAAGTTTGTTTTCTTGTCTAACCCTTCCAAGAAAAACTGAAAAAGATGGAGATTTATTTTACAAGTTATTTGGAATTGAGTAAAATATTAATATTTAATATTCACTAAATCCCTAGGTGACCTTAATGAAACTATGAATCACGTTATTTTTTCAATTGAATTTTGAAATTAAGAATTTTTAAATAAATGGATTAATTAAGATTGAGGAAAGTGGTAAAATTTTAATGAGATCAATATAAAACATCTTGAGTTTTCATTTTTTTAACATTCACTTTGACGCAAAGAGATATATAGGAGAAAAATTATTCTTGATGCTTTCCAGCGGGTCAATGACAAGGAAATATTTGCGACTCTCATTGCGTTGATAAGAATAAGAGTACTCCACTATCTTTGTCATGGTACTCTTTTGTAAAGTCTGGTAAAGATATAAAATAAATTTAAAAATAGATGCACGTAAAAATTTGTTAACAAATATAGCTAAACTTACATTTTTTTCATTCTACTATTTCATAAAGTTTATATTAGAAATTCATAAACGCGCAAGTAGTCTGTACATTCATTTAAAAATACTTATTATGTGATATGTGAAGCTGTACTTGCACATCAGATAATTAAGTTAGTAAATGGCATCATACTTGCTTGTATCGGTCCTTGATAGCGAGATTGATGGCCTGAGTTGGGAAATATCTGATCACATTGGTTAAGTTGCCCCTCCAGAAGCTCCACAATCCTTGCTCTTTGTAAACTCTGCGAGTGCAATCGACAATTCCATCGTAGCGCCTAAAGTCGGGATGCTTCATCTGCACAGAGCCATCCTGCAACTGCAGTAGCAGTTTCACCCTTTCGATGGGTGCAGTGACCGTCTTGGCCACACCGCCGGCCACCCCGCCAAGCAAGAAGTCCTTTAGGAACAGCAGGATATCCATGAAGATCATTTCAGAATTTGGGCACCGGCTGCTAAAAAATTTTATTCTGCGATTTTGTCTCCCCTTTATCTGAGGAAGATGTGCTTTTTTTAAACTTTAGAACTGCATTGCATTGATTTATTTTACATGTAAGTAATTATTTTTTTTCCTTTTAGATGATGCCTAATTTTGGAGCCCCTTCGGTAGATAAAACGTTTTCACAGCAAATTCAATTGAAATTTAGCTGAAATCAAAATTGCGCTTTCCTTATTTAAATTCGTGATAATTTTTAAAGCGTAAATAATAAATTTTTATTGCCGAAGTTAGATTAATACTTTTGTTTACTATAAAACAACCAGAGGAATTTGAGTATACTTGTATCAAAGTTTAAATTAATTTTAATTGAAATTCAATTTTTTTAAATTACAATTCGAAAAAATTATTATGCCGTGGAACAGAAATTCAGCTCTGCAGTGGATTTTTTTTTGCTTAAATTTATTTATTCCGATTTATTCTATATTATCATATAAGTTACTAGTTGAGATAAGAAATCGCATTTAATTTTTATTTAGCGCGCCCATCTTTTGATTTATAAATTAATCTTCTCCATTTAGATTGTCATTTAATGATAAATAAATAAAGATAAATTTGAAAATTTTACAAAGTTAATTTGTCCACATTGTTATCGAAAACTAAATAAATTAATTTAAAGGAATTTATGTAATCGCTGGGATACACTATAGTGTATAGTGCTTTAAAAAAATGATGAAACAATAAAACAAATTCAAGAATACTCACATGCGATTGATTATCTCAGTAAAGTTTTCCCAACAGTGAACGCTGCTTGGCAAGGTCGAAGAAAGAAAAAAAATATAAAAAATTGGTTGTCTGTAGCGCGCGTGGCTTCTCGCGGCAGCTTCGTATTTGCGAATGGATCATTTATGTGAATGTGTGCCATTTTATTGGAGACGGGGCAAGATAAGTATGAATACACCCAAGCAGCACCCGAGCACATAATGTACTTGATTTTGTTATTCCAAGCAATGCATTACAAAAAAGGGGTTTGCGAGGCTGCGTTCGTCTAGCACTATTTATATTCTGCAGTAGAGTATCTTTGTGCGACCTCTGACTGCGACATTGAGAGCTCAGATCACATCTCTGATTGGCAAATGAAATGATAAGTGACTGATTTTTATTTTGGAAATTAATATGCACAACGAGAAGGGGTTAGATCTTTGGGCTTATTCTCGACTCATCGATATATTAAATATAATTTATAAAATCTACATCACCACTAAAATTCATGCTAAATATTTGGAAGAAAATTAGAAAAAAAGACGAATGAATTTTTATTATTGAGCTATATATTTTTATTGCCTCTCCAAATTAAAACATATTGGATTTTTTTAACAAAAGAATATATTTTCTTTCAACTTCTAAATTTTCATTAAAAAACATAAGATATGTCTTTTCTTTAACAAAACATTATGCTTTGAAACTTGCATTTGTAACGTATTTAGGGTGTGCGTCTGTTCGTGATGCATTTCCTCTAATTTCCACTGTTACGCACATTTCATGCAATTAGTAACACATTTACACATTGGGTTTAGCACACCCATCCTGTTTGCAGCGCATAATTATGTCATAGTTTCGCAGCCTACATTTGTATTGGAGCACCTCACCTCTATTATGTGATAAATTCATAAAAAATCAACTTTGAATTCACTCAATTTCAAACATGGCTATATCTATGTAACTGGATTTTAAGAAATATCACTGTGACGTTGACACCAAGTTATTAAAAAACGCTTGCAATTCTTCGTAGAGGACAAGGACCAAGGCGCTGCTCATGCCTCTAATGATGTTGGTAAAGGCGCCCTTGTAGAAGGCGCTGAAACCCTCCTTTCGAGCAATGTAGGCGGCGCACTGGAAGCTGTTGGTGTACAATATTTCGTTCCTGGTGCACCCGGACAACATCATCATACGCCTGCGGACAGTGTCAGCAGGGTATGCGAAAAGACCAGCCAAAGTTGTTGTCACCTGCACGTTGGCAAAATTCAAATAGTCATGATCAAAAATAATAATGAATTTAATTGTTTTTGAAAATAATTAATTTAATTTAAATTGCATCAAGGGAAACACGTGAAATAAATGGGAGAACAGCTAAATTGGATGGAGCGCTATTATTTTTCATAAAAATTATATTTTTTTCATAAGTTACTTGATTACCATATATATGTCTTTGATAATTTCAAATTTATTGTCATAATTTTAATTTCACGATATTAAGGGAATAATATTCAAGGCATCAATCGTATATTGTCCTAATTTGAGGAGCACTAACTAATTATAAATTATAAAGCAATTCATAATAACAAAAAAATTGTTGCTTGTTTAGAGGTACCCTGAGGATGAAGGAGAAAGAGTTTCAGGTGTTCAGCAACAAAATAATAAAATGTAAACTTAAATAATATACTATCTCGTTTTTTAATGAAAAAATATTACTTGATTACGGAAAAACATGATTATGTTACTTTTACTTTTTATCAGATAAGTGCCCATTAATTATCATTAAAAATATTTTGTCTGTTTTGAGTAAAGAAACCATAATAACTAATAACTACTAAGTTATTAAAAAGAGAATTTTATTGAAATAGCGATTTAATTGTAAATACATTTTAACACTTAAGCTCTTAAGGCACTCAATATTTTTCGACTTGCGTTAAGCTAAAAAAAGTTTATTGCTTTTTAAAAATTTAAGAAAATAACTTTAAATAAATCAGTGACTTTGAACTATATTTAGAGGTAAAAGGAATTATTAGGATAATGTCATAATGGGTCGATATTTATGGTGATTTCAAAAGTTAATTTCAAACCTGTGCAAGAATCCACTTTGTGATAAAATTTAAATTATCTGCACCAATAAGCTCCTTGGATCCGTCCCAAAGTCCAAAGTAGGCACCTCTGTAGAGGATGATGCCGACGAGGGACACAAAGAAGCCACGGTACAGGCCACAAATGCCGTCCGACTTGAAAATCTTTTTGATGCAGTCCCACAATCCGGTAAACTCGCGCTCCTCCTCCGTCTTGCCGACGTCCGCGCCCAAACGCGTTCGCACAAAGTCCAAGGGGTAAACCACGCAAAGGGACGTTGCCCCTGCGGCACTTCCAGCGGCCACGCTGCCCGCAAAGTAGCCCCAAAAGTTGGTTTTCTTGTCCAACCCTTGCAAGAAAAGCTGAAAAAAATATATATAGTTTCAAATTCATTGTAATTTTTTTTTGCAAATTTAAATCCTGAAATTATAACTTTTATTGTTCTGATATAAGAAATTTTCAAAGTTCATTTTTCAAGAAATTTTTTTAATCATAACATTGTTCTGCATTGACTTGAAATTAAACTTGGAAGCCATCAATGAGATGCAAGTCAATTTAGCCAATTTTCTGATCTCAGGGCACTTAATTACTATTGCGAATACCATGCAAAAATAAATGTATTGTACATACATTGATTATCAGTGCTTTTTTGCCAATTTTTAATGTCTCATAAAATTAGAGGCAAAATTTCTTTAAATATATGATTTATTTACAGAAATAACAATGTTTCCGTAAATTTGTGGGAATTTCCAGATTAAAGGGCAAAAAGGAAAAAACAATGAACAAGGAAAGATTGAGTCTTGTGGTGAATTTGCCGCCACGTTTTCGTCATCGATAAGAGAGGTCCGCTATCTCTGCCCTTTTTCCTCCACTTATAAAAAAAATATGGACTTCTGCACCTAATAAATTTAAAGTTAAACCGAGTTCTCGAGATTGTGATTTATGATTATAATGCATAAAACGCGTTACAAATTCAAATTTATGCCAATGCACCACAGAAAAATTGAAAAAAAAATTATTAAAATATTTATTATTAGTTTCAAATTTTAACAAACAACACAGCTTCTTAACTTAAAGTTTTTCGTTATGAAAATAATGAATCAATCAAAATAATTGAAAAATGCAGAGCATTTTGATAAGAATGAAGAATAAAATCCAACAAAGTTGATAGTTTACCTTTTTGTATCGGTCTTTGCAAGCAAGGTTGATGGCCTGTGTCGGGAAGTATCTGATCACATTAGCCCAATTGCCCCTCCAGAAACTCCACAATCCCTGCTCCTTGTAAACCCTGCGAGTGCAATCGACAATTCCATCGTAGCGCTGAATGTCGGCAACCTTCATCTGTGCGGATCCATCCTGCAACTGCAGTAGCAGTTTTACCCTTTCGATGGGTGCAGTGACCGTCTTGGCCACGCCGCCGGCCACCCCGCCAAGCAAGAAGTCCTTGAGGAATAGCAGTATCTCCATGAAAACCATCCCTGGATCCGCACTCTGCTCAAATAATGACACAAAATTTTGTAAAGAGTTTCTTTTGGTCGTCACCCGCTTCTCTTATTTCTACGTCTGGGGTGTGAGATTTGTGTAATGGGAATTGCATTAATATATTATTTTTATTGAATGAATAGTCCCATTCCATAAGGTAAGGGGTAAGTGAATGAATTTTTTTATATTTTTTTTTCTGTGCAAAAGCGTACATTGACTCAGATATTTTTCATTCAAATCACGCCGGCCTTTCTTTTTTATTTTAAAACTTAATAAAGGAACTTTGACGATGAAAAGTTAAAAGTATATTATCGCCTAGATTTATTACATTGAGTTTCAATCAGATTCCAAATTGAATTAAGTGAAATTTCTTTTTTCTTTCATATCTGATTATTGAATTAAGAATTGATTTAATTAATATTTAATAACTTTTGCAAATAATTATTTAATTGAATTGAAAAATGCATTTTTTTTTTTAAATTTAAAAAAGCGATTTAAAAATTTATTATTTTCTGAAAGCTTTAAAAGCTGCTTCCTAGTATAAGTCATAAATAATTTCAAGAAAGTTTACTGTCAAATAATTATATTTTTAATTGAATATTTACGTTTAAATTATTTATGTGGGCAGTTTTTTAAAATTTATAGTTTTTTTTATATTATGTTAAGGATTTAAAAGGAAAACAATTTTTAACCCTCATTAAGTTAAAAGATTGTATAATATTATTTAAAGATCTTTGCACCATTAACAAAAGCAAGCTTCCGAAAATTAATATGTGCTTCTGTACAAGCTGGCACGCAAATTGCTGAAAGCAAATTTAAAAGTTGTTCTTAACTCCATGTTAAAATGTATTTTTAGGATCAGCGGGGGCGCAATCCTTTGGAGTCTGGAACGCTGTGAATGTGAAATGTTTTTAAGACTGGACTTAAAAGATTTAAAAAGAATTCTCAGCTTAGTCCCATTATAATTTTAAATTTTTATTTAAAAACCCAGCACCAAAAATTTTATTAAATTTTGGGGCAGGCGCGAGTTAGGGGACAAAACACGTAAATATCGATGGTGCTGATTGTGAGAAAAAAAATGGAAATATCAGCTGCTGCTTTTGTCGTTTTTTATAACCCTTTATGTTAAAAATACTCACTTTAAAAGTTGAGGATGCGAACGTTGTGTGTGGCAAGGTCAATGCCAAAGTATTAACTGAGCACTGAGCTTTTCCTCATGAGCGCATGCAGCGTCCGTCTGAAAAATCTTTTTTTGGTGAGCGCGTCGAGTCTCTTTATTGGATGAGGAAAACGGCTGCTTCTGCAAAGATGAGTGCTGATCACCGCGTTTTAATGCTTAACTGTTGTTACGTACCAAAACAGAGGAGGGAGGGGATTCGCGAGCGGGCTTGTTGGTCCACGTTGGTCCTTCAACCACTCTTTCGGAGCAATTTTATGTGACCTTGCGTGCATGCTAAACTTTTGTAATAATAATAAGTAATGAAGATCCCAGCTTCCCATAAAAATGGGATATACCGAATTTATTCGAGTGAATAAAGACATGATAATGCTGCTTGCTAGCTAAACATTGTCCTCATGTATATATGTATTATACTACAACGTAATGATAAGGCAAAAGGAAAATGTGGACAAATGAGCGATGGTCCAAAGTTATACTTCACTCCAATTGATTTCTTCGACCAGTGGAAAGTGGGATTTTTTTTAAACAGATAAATTTCAGTTCCAAAATATTTTTCATGTGCAACATCGAACAAGTCTTTTTAAATTTTGGTGTGTTTTCCTTTTGCAGCTTTTAACACACATTCAAATTGAATTATTTAATAAAAAAAAAAATAAATAAAACATTTCATCAGTGTATTCCTATAAAGATATCCATGTATTTGGAACCTTTATTTTAAGAAAGCACCTATGACCTATAGGTAGCTTGTTTTAAATTATATAAATAATTATTCATAAAATAAAATGATCACTCACCAATTTTAACTTTTCCATAGGGGATGGATGACTGAAGATAAATAAAATTTGTTATGAAGTCAAAATTACTGATATAGGAACGATTGTCTGAGGATTATAAATTACGATTAAATTGAATAAAAAAAAATACAAATAAACAACTCTTCCGCTGTTTTATTTTTGCATGAATGATTTATACACTTAAGAAAATCAGGAATTAAAAATAATATTTTTTACTAGTTGCAACTTAATTATAATTAGGAATGTGCTTCTGTCACCGATTAAAAAATAAATTTAAGGAAAATGTATCAAATTTTTAAAATCAAATAATTTTTATTTTGCGTTCTCCTGAAATCACACAAGAATTTCCTCCCGTTAAAATCATGCTGTAACACCAAATTAAGCGGCATCAGTTGAAAATTGTGTTATCGTCGCAATATGAGATTCGATACTCGTGTGTTTGGCAGCAGGTACTTGTTTAGCTAGCTGCGTATGAAACTCTGGTCGGTGAGAGAGAATTCGTGGTCGAGAGACATTATAAGAGAGGATGCGCGGAGAGACGCGCGACGGGCGACCAGGACCAAATCTAGCAACTCTTTGCACCCGGGATGGTACCCTGTGTGGTGCTCGCGAGCGCGAGAGAGAGCGTATGAAGAAAGAGAGAGAGGAAACCCTTCTCTCCATTGCTCGCACGGTCGCAGAAAGTCTTTCGTCGGATCAGGCGCCCATGAGTTGATAGTGGAGGTCAATTTTGGCTAGGCGTGGTTTCGTCAGAGTTGGCGCATGACTCAAAAGATAGCATGCGTAATGAGACTGAACCGCCACCGAGAGATTTGCACTCAGCGATAAACACGCACATCCCTTAATTTTACGTTTTTTTTGTGCATTTTCTGACTCAAAATATTGACAAGATTAATTGCTGTTCCTTCTTTTTCAGTCTCTATTATAAAAAAATTGCAAAATATATTTAAGCTCCGAATTCAAAATCAATTGAACAAATAAAAGCAATTAACATGTGTCTCAAATGACGTGAGATGCCACAGGCGCTTAAAATGTACCAGCATTTTTTGCTTCAAAAAAAAAAAAACAGCCATGTTTATTTAGATACAAATTTCAAATGATATATGTATATTAAATATTTGCAACATTTTCAAAAAAATTAAAGTAGCCATTTCGCTGCATTCGGTAGATTGAATAACACGCAGACTTTCCTTGTTCCAAAATTCATCAATGTCATCAGCTTCTTTGAGCGTGTTGTAGTGGTTCAAGTGGGATCAATTAAGGCTATTTATAACACGAGAATATTTGAGTGTGGCTGCGGCTTTGCTCTTTACATTTATTGACATATTTATACAACTGGTAGGCTATAAAATAGATTTTTGGGATAAATTTTACAATTAAAATTCATATTTAAAATTTAGTTTCTATTACATTTAGAAGAAAAAGTGCAGAAATAAAATCCTTGTACTAGATAGACAGTACTAGATTTTATCATAAAAAAGGTGTATTAAACAAATTTTTCATATTGTATGATTGTAGCTTTAAAGCTTGACAAGTGGATATTTAATAGCTACTGGTAATAATTCATAGATTTTGATGTTGAAACAAAGTGAAAATGAATTATTGCTCTGAGAGAGAAGTTACAAAAATTGTCGCGAGAGCTTCCGTATTACAGAGTATGGCGCCCCGTGCCTGTACAACCGATGTGCCATCTCGCGAACTGTCCGTGCTATTGCGTCGTCGAAAAACACGGCGTGGTGTTGCTAGGTTCATATGAACCTCTAGGAGATACGCTCAACGCAAAACAGCACATTCGGGCATGGCGCTCTCCCACCGCTCGTGCGGCGTGGCCATCATTGAAAGCATTGAACTTTCTGCGATAACCAAAAATCAGCAAATGAAATCAGAAAGGTAAAAAAATATCAATTTTTTAAAACAATCACTGATCCTCCTTTCCATTGATAAGTATTGCCATTATTCAACTATTGCACGTGATCATATTTTATGCTTATTTTCAATATAAACATAGCAAAAACTTGAGCAAATGTTTTTTTTTTCAATATAATAATAAAATATTATTACACTGAATAAGTAAAAACTTATCAGCTGAATAATTTGTTTTGAATTTGACGTATCAAAACACGTCATTTTTTTCTCATTTTTGTAAGATGTGTTGGAAATTCATCTTCTCTAAAGTACAATACGCGTTAAGCCTCCAAACATATAAATAATTAATATATTATTTTCAAGCAATTCTCACATAACGAGAAATATTTTAAGCGCACTATAAAGGCAACTAAGGAGGTATCATAAGAATTCTCTGGAAGAATAATTGACATAGGCTGCAACTTATTGAAGATTTTCGAAAATCAATTTGCTTATTGATTACAAATAAAAAAAATTACTTTGAATAGATCAAATTGTGTAAGTTCAACAATAAATTAAAAGATTAACAGTTTCATTCTAAACTGAAAACATCAAGTTAAGAGTTGTAAATTACTGGAAATCAATACTATATAATTGAGAATACCCACACTTCAAGCAACATCCAGTATTGTTCGTTCCCTTTTAAAAAAATCACGATATTTTCTTACTATATATTTTAAGTGCAAGTAAATTCTCTTTGACAAACTGGATGGCCTTCAATGCTCTTCAAGTGCATTTTTAATCTATATGAATGCATTCTTAAGAACAACTACGCGCCTGTCAAACCACATATCAGTTCCCAGAAAAGAAAAACAATTCGATAACAAAACCATGTCAAAATTCTATGAAGACCTTGAGGAAAAAGCAAAAACATCTCTATTCAACTAGTAAATCTTGGCAGCAGGGGTAAAGTGGGTATAGTATAGTCGAGGGTAGAAGAAAGTGAATCGGTTGTAGTCACAGCTGGGTTGGGAAAGTCACCGCTCGGGGTCGATCGGCGGGCGTCGCGCCGGCGCTGCGCCTTCGTTCAGCCGAAAGCGAGAGGGCCAAAAAAGCGGTGAGGCAGCGATGCAATCCTCGGCGCAGAGCCGCCGCTGCCAGTTTAGCATGAATCCGCAAGAGATCACGGCTCGCGCCAAGCAAAATGGTGCTGGCAACTTCGACGTTGCGAGGGGCGGCGCTTGGCGAATCGGCGCATTAACCCGCTACGAAAGCATGCGCTCCCGATACTAGAGATTCAACTGAGGCAAGGTCCGGGTCCGGCGGAATGACGCTGAAGCCTCACTTCGTGCCCCTTTCCTTTTCGTTAGAATGCACTTTTGAGGGTAACAGCCTCCGTGGGTCGTTGATCAACAACCCAACCACTCCAGTGCCAATCTTAGTAATACAGACTCGTTCGGAAAGCGCTGAACGTGTGACTGTCCGTCACTCTGTACGCATAAAACTCGTGTTAGATATATTTATACGCATACAACATACACTGGCCGGCCGGTCGTCGGCATTAAAAATTTTAAAACCAAGGCTGATGCACTTATTTTGGCCTCGCCGCCGTCTCCCCCTCGCAACAACACAGGCACATGAGTGGTGGTGGGGGGCAATTGAAGTGTACTTACTATGTGCGACGCCAGTACCTTCTATTGTAGCCAGTACAGTGCTGAAGCCCCGGTATCAGCAAAAAGTGTTATTTTTGCGCTTTAAGTTCTCTGCTCGTGCAGCGTACTCAATGATGTTGTATCAAATTTATAAATGGTCTATACTCTGTAATACCAAGAGTGTGAAGATTGTGATTTTGAAATGGATTCCTAGTGAATTACACAAAACTAAAAAAAAATTATATTACAAAGCTTTTTGAATCTACTTTTAATGATAAGGGTTTCGTGCTATAAACAGTAGCAAGGCAAAATCTGCACAATTCTGTAAGGATCATTGCAAAAAACAACGAAGACTGTCTTTTTCTATTACTTAACTGCGCAAACGAATATAGCAAAACTTAAATATTTATTCATGAGCTATAAATTATTTTTGAAATCAATATTATATATCAGTAATTTTCAAATATAATTTTTATTACTTTATGTGAAGCAATGCCTGGAGCTAGGTCCGTCCATTACTATCGTTGTAAATCATAATCAATTTTAATTTCTCATTTTAAATGAAACGGGAAACCCTTTTAGTTGAAATCACATGAAATTAATCGAAATCTCGTGTGTTAATAAACCGAATAAGCGGCGCGCAGCGTGGCGAGAGGCGTGTTCTCCGTTCGCCAGTCGGGTGGGTTGAGGCAGCAGTCACGGTGGGGCACCACCATTCGCAGTCGCAAATGGTGCTCGCTACAATGCCGAGAGAAAAAGCTGTTTCTGGGTTTGCATGCGAACCTGGCATACGCGGCCGTTGTGGCGGCCACTACGGGTATGCTCCCATGGGCTTTCGCCTTGCCCGTGACTGCGAAAACGCGGCGTCGAGGCAACCCAGCAGCAAGCGAATCGCGCGGCTACCTGCTACGATTTTCTGCAAACTTAAGAACGACCCTGGCTGAGGTTCTGACCCTCTTGCGGTTAGCGGCCGTGGTGTGTGTGTTCAGAGAGTAGGAAAGGGCGACGTCCTGCGCCTCCAACTGGAAGCGAGCAAACTCAGCACACGAGATGGAGGAGACGAGCGACGCAGACGTGTTTCTTCGGCACGTCAAACAACTGTCGAGTCGTAACCTCGCCAGCACACGAGTGCCAGGCACGCATGCTGCCCTAGCAGGCTCATCTACCGAAAAACACTCGGCGGATCCCTGCTCGGATAGCCGTCAGAAAAAAACGTTGCCAAAGAGTTGCTCTTCGCGACTCGAGCGCCAATGGGTGGTGGGCGCCAGTCGTGAAGGGCCAATGGTTGGGTTCGCGACCGCGATCTACCCGGCCAGGCAGGGAATTGTCCATCAGGGTTTCATGCTTCGCCCAGAGATAGATTTTGCTTCGAGTTTGGTTGACCAGCTAGAGCTTTATGCAAGCCTGGCCCGAGGAGGATCCGTTGCGGCACCGGTTGGGCCGCGGGTACCGTGATGCTTCGCCGCCGAGTAGCACCGCCACCGCCGCCAAGAGAGCCTCTCGAACACTGACGCCAGTCTAATACGCCCGCTGGTTTTAGCTTTGCGCTTGTTGCCTGCCACTGGTGGTGATTTCGCCGCTCTGCGCGGTCACATTGTTGTTGTCTGTCCGCTTGAACCTGCCTTGCCATACGCGGACGATCCGCCTTTATCAAACAGGCCTCAAGTCTTAGGCCGAGTGCGCTATTACTATCAGGCACACAGTCTCGCTCAGGAGGTGCACACACACCCACTGCGGTTCTCTCTCTATGTCAAAGATGGCGCCTCACGTAATTCTCGTGAGAATCGGTCGTTCAATGTATTTTAGCGCTCGAATATTTGGAAAATGTCAGATTGAGATTTCCTTTTAACCTTAATTTATACAGAGCATATCTAAAATATATTTGTGGGGAGCTGAATACTCTTTTTATGAATTTTAATATTCCAGATTGCAAATAAAATTAATAATAATTCATTTCATAGGAAGTTCCTAAGTATTTGTCTACATATTTATTTTTTAGATTTTTGCACCACAATTTTTTGCACCACAACTTTGCACGCCGCACCAGAGCACACCTGCTTCTCCCTTATAGGATAGGATTTGTACTGTAAACGCACCTGCCGCAGTTTGTTTTTGCAGAGATAATACCCTCTTATCCTTATCTTTTTTGCATTGCTCATTCCAGCGCATATAATTGATCTTAATCTACAAATTAATAACAATACACCTTAGCAACTTCAAGACAGCCTGAGAGTATAATTATATGCAACCCTACGTCAAAGTATCTATTCTTTTATTAAATATGCTCTTAGTTGCAATTATTATTAATATTTATTCTTCTCGGTCAGTAAAAAAGGTTTCATTTGGAAAAAAGGGGTAAAAAGTTAAAATCAAATAAACGAATTTCATACTTAATACGCATTAATAAGTAATAATTGTCAAGGAATCATAATATGCATAATATGCTTTTTGATTAACCAGGCTTCTGGCCTCTATAATTAAGTGGTTATTTCGCTAATAAATTTAATACAATAAAAGTCAAATTTTTACAAAGTATGGACAGAAATAAAACATTTTTTGAAGGAGTAAATTTTAATTTTTCTTAATTTATATCAAGGAATTGCTTATCAACAATATTTTCAAAGAATTGCTTTAAATCCACTGACTCTTTTGTAGTCTTTTTCAAAAAAATACCGAGGAAGATCCTTTTTTTAATTCTTTTCCTTCTCTCATCACACCTGGTGCAATGAAATTAGGTAGAGAGGTATTTGTGACGTCACCGGAGCTGTCAAATTAAAAGATCCTATGTGTGCTATAAGCATTGGTGCGGCAGCGGCGCGGCTCCCCTCTCTGTTTATACATATAAAAGTTGGGTTGCTTGTGTCTCCTTTCTGGCGCCAGGGCAGAAAAAAAATTATACGCCGCTGCTTTTTCACACAGCCTTCAGACGACGGTATCAAAAGAGATCAGAGAGCTCCGCCAACCTAAGAATCTTTTCCCTCTTTGCTATCGCTGATCCCTCATAAATTTATAAAAAATTTATTACAAATAATCTCTCTGTAATAGGTAATTCTTATTGAGTAAAATGAAAGACCGTTTGGATTTTATATGAGGTTTTTGTCGTTTATTATCTGTAACAACAGCATCATTTATCATTTTTTTTTTCACGAAAATTTGATTTTAACCGCGCAGCAAATGTTGCTTTCTTTTGTTTCAGTGCTCGCTTATCAATATTTATTTATTTTTAACCTGCAAATAAAACATTTGTACTGAATCTGCTTTAGGCTGCTGATTATATGGATAAATTTTCTTTAGATAATACCTTTGAAGACTTCATGCAACCAAAAAATCTCGAAACTTTGTTGAAACTAGTGCTTTAATTAGGCATTTAAATTCTTCTGACATAGGTAATTAGCCTGCATAATATATGAACATTTCGAACTGTTATTTACAACATATTTTCGAAACTTTACATTACTCATTGGCACGTATCATCAGTTGCAAACGTACAATTTTCTATTGCATACAGGCACCTTTGGCTCTGAGTAGCATGAATTTTTTCACGTAAAATCACAAGACTTCGTTTAAAACTTCTTACGTTATCTCTAGACTTATCAAAATTTAAAATATATATGATTGATACGAATTATTAACTGTAAATTGCAAGAAAATCAACAATTACTCAAGCACCAAAACTCCTATGTCAGTCTAAGTTTTTATGAATTAGCAGCTTATTATTGTAATAATAAAAAAAAAGTAGCAGATTGTGTTGTTTTACAAAGTTTGACATCAGCAATTGGAACTGGGAAAGAAAATACAGGACGGAATGTTGTATAGAAATTTTCAAGGGTTATTATTTACAGACCGTCAATTGCAATATATATATATTTCCTAGCGAATTATATGGCTTTATGGCAGCGGTTACACACGTTGAAAAGCACAGTCCGTACGACACAAAAGTCTAAAAACAAGATAAGCCTAAACTACAAATTATGGCAATCACAGTGGGCATCCCGGGTGCTCGCAAGCAACAGAGTTCAGTTTGTTAAAATATAGGAATCAACACATCACACTATTCGTCCTTTTTCTTTCGCACCTTCCCTTCCGCGTGAATGGTCTTTGTGACCTTTTCAACGCAATCAGGAACAGATGGCGCCGTGGCTCCCTCGCTGTAGTCTTCGCCGGCCACCCTGGACAAAGCCACAATGTACGAGCAGGCGATGCGGAGGATTGACAACTTGGACAGTTTCTGACTGTTCGAGTACGAAGGGATGGTTTGACGCAGCGTGTCAAACGCTGCACTGATCGTGTGAACACGAGTCCGTTCTCGAGCGTTGGCCTCTATGCGTCTTTCACGCGTCATGTTCTTGTAGTTACGTTGAACGTTCGGCGTCGCCACTGTCGCGTTACTAGAACGACTCTTGCTACTCTTTGCAGAGGCAGGAGGGGTTGGTTGTTGTTGGAGTTGTGGGGGTGGTTGTTCACCAATCAGAGATTCAACCGAAAACTTGTTGTTGGCCAAGCGCTTGCGAATCGGTGGTGGTGCTACTGTCGGCTTAGCGCCGCACAAGGCGGGAGACAATGTGACCGGCGCCGCCGAAGGTCTGACCACCAAGGAAAGGGGTTGATCGTCGCTGTGGTGACTTGAGGGGGGCTCACTCCACGGCCTGAAGGGGCTCGGCGTTGAAACGGGCACCGCTTGACGAATCAAATCAGTCGTATTGTGCAGTTTGCGGGCGCGTTTGGTGGGCGGTGATTTTCCCTCGTTGGCCACCTTGCGTGGCTCAGCGAGTTTGCGTTTGTTCTTCTTGGACAGCGCCAGAATGGGGTGCACTTTGACCTCAACGCTGTCATCACTCGCGTCGGTGGGCGAGTGCAGGTCATCGTCAGACACGCAGACTGACGCGTGCTGGCCAAGAACGGAGATCTCCGTGGCCATCATTATTTGTCCTGCAACACGCGAGATGCTTCATGAGTAAAAAGGCCAAATCATAAAACATTCATAAAATAAATTTCTCACATACAAATTTAATTTTACTAATGTGGGTTTTTATAATAAGTGGGCCTAGATAAGCAAAAAATCTCCTATTCCTAATAAAATGAGACCAAACTTAAAAATAGCACATTTTATGCCAGTTATAATTAAACTAAAAATTATCAAATTGCGAAAATTGGCCAGTTTGCATGTTTCCCTGACACGGTCGAACAACTCTGTTCGGGATTATTAAAGCTAAGCCACGCGCTAAGCACGCGATCCTCTCCTCTGACCTGTGCCCAGCCTCCTGCGTGCGTCCGTAAAATCACTTTATACAAACAAGAATTTTCTTTGCTTAAGAAAGGAGTCACGCGTCGGCACTCTCATTTCAGAGCAAAGCCGATTAATTCGAAAAATAATACCTTTTATATAGTGCAGTCGGGGTTCAATAGAAAAGTGGCGTCAATTATTAAGCTCAGCGAACACCTGCCCAGGCGAGCGATTTTTATCGGAGCGCGCGTTTCGTATAAATGAGTGTTCCAGCCATAGGTGCAAGTGATGTGTACCGAGAAAACCCGCCAAGTGCTGGTGCACCGGTTATCAGTGTTTGTGTATCCTCCTGGGTGCAAACGAACCCGAGCAGCACACCTGTTCACATATGATGAGTGTGTCTAACTTGGCTAATCCTTATCAGGCCGCTAATAAAACGATGGCTTTTGGGTTACGACGCTAAACAAACGATATTTAATTTTTTATTATCAAACAGAAAACTAATAAAATAGAAATATAAAAAGTAATTGAAAAAATGCATTGGTATAATTATGTTTGTAATTTTTTTTTTTTTTTTGTCAGAGATATAAACATTGAATAAAAATTTTGTTTTATTATGAACTGTTCTTTATCCCGATTGATTTTTTTATATTAATTTTCAAATTCACGTGAGTTACAATTTGCCTGACGTATAGATTATGAAGTTTTTGCACCTGACGTGTCTCGCACTCCGATTGGCAAAAATTTACTACGACACGATTATCGCCCTCGAGAGATTTTATCACCGGCCCATTGAAAGTGTTCTGTTTGAAGTGGACTTTTGCGGTATCGTAATCGCACACCTTGCACGGCACACCTGGTCACACATTTATCGAATCATCATCTACGGTCTGCTCTATTGATAACATTGCACCTGACTGGTTTGCTAGTGCAGCATTTTTGACGAAACGCAGAAAGTGGAGCGAGCTCTCCTTTGTTTCGAGCCAGATTTTTTTATGATCAATAATAATATATCTAATTGAGGTTCATAAAACCAGATGCATTAATATTCAGCCGGTGACACACAAACACAGACGTGTATAATAAAGTCATTGCATTTGCCCCAACACGTAAGTCGTAAAATAATAACAGAATGCAGTTTTTTCGCTCCAAAGCTGATGCTTGCTATAAAGAAATTATAAATAATGTGTTAAATCAAGGTGCGTTTGAAACCGAAACCGGGCAACTCGTCATAAAAAGCAAGAGCTGATTGAGTGCAATAATGTATTGCTTGCACGCTTCTGGTGTGTTTCTCTCGCGTGTCGAGTGTTGCAATGAGCAAAAAGGGGTTAGCCTCTCCGGCTAGCAGATTAAAACGAGAAATAAGTTGACGATCGACGACTAGAGTACATGAACGACAACGGTTCACGCTTCATAGCTTTGCAATAATTATTATTGCGGCACAAAAATGCTTTAGTGTGTCTTTGCAGCAGCGCGACGGCGGCGAGAGAGCAGCAGCAGCTGTGTTATAACTTTTTAAAGGCGCCATAAAATTTTAATTACATCAGCAAAAAGGCGGCGGCTTCTACGGCGCAGAACGGCGCTGCTCCCCGACGCTGCAGGTGTTCTTCAGTCGGGTCCATTTGCCAAAAATTTTAAGAAGAGGAGTGTTTTTGAGAATTGATCTCAAAGTCCCCGTTTAATGAAAAACCAGAGATATGATTTAAATCATTTTAAATCTTTTTTAACTTATTATATTAATATTTATTTTTGAATTTAAGTTTATATATGATTGTGAAAATTGAACAAATAATAAGAATAAATAATGATAAAATAGAGAAATATTATATATTAAATATTAATGCTTCATGATATGCCATTTCGCCACAGCAACACAAATTTATATATAATTATTACATTATATAAATAAAATTTATCAAATGAAAATAAATATAAATAATAAATATTATCGTCATAAGTGTTTAAAAAACAATAAAATATTCTAAAAAATATTTGAAGCCATTGAATTTTTACTGTTTGGAAAAAATTTAATTATATATCTTTATTAATGTACTACAATATTATGTTAAACAACATAAATTTCTACTTTGCTTTATTTAATTGACCAGCGTAAACTCGCGCAAACTCTTCGAGTCCAATTAAAAAATTGATATGACAGTTAAAACTGCAGAATTATGCAAATGAGCCGAGTCAGTGAGAGCATTGCATTGAAAGAGTGATTTATCTCGTGGCGAGTGCGCCCCCCATTCATCACCTTCAATTACCAAAGACAAATGTCCAAATTAGAATACGCCTCCGTATATCTCGAGAACAAATAACAAAACAAGGTTGATTTTTATTGTTAATTCACTTTCAACTGCCGCGAACAATATAAACGGGTGTCGCGCGCAGTGCTGAAATCCTTAACACGATTTCTTTTTCTGCATCCCATTGTGCGGCGAACATAATTAATAATTTTCGGGCCGCCCAAGGAGCAAAAAATAAAGGAATAAAAAGCAAGGTGAGTCACTGCCGCGGTGCGGGAATAAATAGTGGGTGGGTGTCTCTTATAGAAGTGGCGCTTTTTGGCACATCTGCGCGAGTGTGTCTCTTCTCGCTGACTCATTTGCTCAGCATAAATCCAAGCCCACCACCGCAAATTTAAGCAGGCTAATCACGCCGGTCGTCTGGCACTCTTACTATGTTTGATGTTGCTGACAAGAAGCAACGAGGAGGTCAGTTCACGCGAGAATTATCCGAGAGATTTATTGAAATTGTAATTAAAAAACGCAAAATATCACTGAATAGTTAAAAAAAATTGCTTTGACCATAAAAATTCCAATTGATTAAATAAAAATTTTGATTCAAGTTTTTACGACTTTCCGTTTAATTATATTAAAAATAATGTATGAATGTTTATACAGAAAGTATTTAAAATTTATTGCTAGTTTTGAATTTAGACCCACTTTTATTATTTCTTCAAGATGCTCTTTAGGAATCAAAATTTTTTTGGTTGCTTGTTGTCAGCAACATGTACAACGGCGGACGTGCTTTATTGCAAGCACGCCAGCGACAAGTGCAATAAAATCACGTATAATTGCAATATGTGCGTGCGCCACTCGTTTCCTTTCTTTTACATTTGTTTTCCCGGCGAATGCAATTTTTCATTTCAAAACTGGCGGATTCCGGCACGTAGCAATAATTGTTCTGTTCGGAAGTCTTTCGGTTTTTTCACGCCCGCCGTTTGCCTTTTACGAAAGGACAGACGGACAAGAATTAATTCTATATACGCAGATAAATGTATAAATTTTTGCCGGACTGACGGAGTGCGTATGAATGCGGGCGCCGTGAAGATTAGCCAGGTACAACCATAAACGCGCGGCTAAACGCTCGCGGCGCAGCGGTTGGAGCCGGTGTTTTGTTCTTGGCCGCGGCGAATTAATATACACCTGCTTCTTTCAACTACACCTGGCATTCTGACCCGCTCCAAATGTGTGTCTCTTGCTAGTTTCGGTTATAGAGCCAAAGAAGAATTTTGGTCGTTGGATTAAATGGAGAGGGAAAGAATGGCCACAACAAGCGCACCTGGTATTTAAATATCCCTATAGCACTTCTGGATCAAAGTTTTGAAACAGAAAATAAAAAGGAAACTCGCTTCAAACACATTTTTACTTTATAATTATTTGCGCATGTGAAGAACTCAAATTTTGAGTTACAATCAACAAATTAACTTTTTGAGTCTCGAAAATAATAGTTTTTTTACCCTTCTTTTCCTAACATTTTATTTATCATTTTCAAATACATTTTTTGGCTGCACAATAATTGTTCGCGTTATACCTAATATATTAAAATATTGCGTCTTCTTTTCCAAAATCGATGGCAAAAACTGAAAATAATTTTTGAAAAGGAAAAAAAACAACAGAAAAAAAACCATTCGTCTAGATTAACAATCATATCAGATTGGCGTTTTGAGGCTATTTTATTTAAATTGTGCATTTCAAATTTCTAAATGACGATTATCGTATTTTTTCTTTTTTAAATTGTGAAATAATTTCAAGAAAATGGTGAATTATGATAAATTCAATTCTCTGATCGTGCGTTTTAATATTTCCTTATTCGAGAATGAACTAATGAAATCAACAAAAGTCAGATACCGGAGCCTGATTAACTTTACTTGAGTACTATATGCTTTTGATTGTAAACACAGCAATGTTGCTAAATATTATTAATTCTGATACAATAATAATTTAATACTATATAATGTTTAATAAATCACAACTAACTGCACATGTTACCATTTCTGATAAATAAAATAAATAAATAAATATTAATTACAAATAATATTGTTAATATTTTTTTCCAATTTAGTTAAGATAAATAGATCACAATTAATAATTTCAAATTAACTTAATATTAATAATATAATGTTATAAAATTTTTGTTTATTAATAAAGCAAGCTACAAATCATCGCCTTAATTGCGATCGCAAATCCACCGCAGCGTTGCGTGCGCTGCCGCATTTACCAAGGCATTAATCATTAACTCCGCGTGGCTCTCGCCGCAAAATTATATATTATGATTGTTTCCAATAATACCGGACCGGCGAGTTCCATTCAGCGTGCAGCTCCATTCACCGCGCGAATAAATCAAATTAATCGTTCGGTGTTATATAAAATTTCAAGCGCGAATTCTGGCTGCACAAGATGCAGAGTAGAGAGGACGGTTG